AATCTTGGGATGCGAACTAAATTCAAACATTGTAAGTGAAAAGAAATCAGAGGCATCTGCAGACGTTTTCTTCTCTTTTGACATGAAGATAGGTCAGGCACACTGTGGCTGGGGAGATTTGAAAGAGCTAAATTATCACTCAATGAAATATTGTTATCAGATGCAGTGGCAATGTCCTTTTTTGTGCTTATATTAGAAGGCGGTATAGATGGGCTAGACGAATCAGAACGCAAACCAGCATGATGCTCTGAGTACTCCTGAGCAGGGGGCGGTGAAGAATCCCAAGTATCATGCATGGGCATTCGTGATCTATTATTATGATCAGAGAGCAAAGGCATAACATGGTATGCATTTGCTTCAGATGAAATTCAGTCATTCTGGTTAATTATCTTCATCGCCAAGAAAGTTGACAGCGAGTCAACATGATTCTCTATTAAGTGGAGAGGTTGCAGTCCTTGGAGTCGGCCGGTCGTAAGTTAAGGTCTATGCGGGAACTCGAGTTGCAAGAAAAAGGGAAGAGATCCTAAGAGTTTGAGGAAACATCATGGAAACACCTTTAAAATCTAGCGACGCAAGATTATTCATTAGAAATTGTTTTTTTTCATTCTTTGATTAGCAATTGCAATCGACCAAAGTAAATTGCTTAACGCAAACGTTCGCATATGATAAAAGGACAATAAAAACTCAATCAAGATGCATGATTAATGTAAGACATATAGTTCAAAAAAGGCAAATTGATATGAGAAGCAATTAATAAAAATGATCTTGCAAGAAGTGGTTAAAAAATTGCAATTAGTCCTAGATATGAAAGGTAAACACACGAAGGCTAGATTTAAAGGTGTATGCTAAAATCAGAAAGCTCATCGGAGCAAAACCTGAAGTATGGAACCAATCAAAGGATCATACATGCTCGAAATAATCAGCAGACTAAACCGTATAGCAACAGGATGTTCATTATGAGAGAAAAAAAAAAAAAAAAAACCTCAGAGAAGCAGAAAAGCCAAAAAGACTTGAAATACGACTAGACTTGAAAAAATCGCAGTAATAAAAACAGAACAGTCATGGAAAACAAGAAGAATCGAAAGCGTAGTACAGATAATTAGCCAGCGAAGATCTCCATAAAACATCATAGCACTAAGCACGCGTATAAAGGCATTTGATGTGGCAGTAAGGAACTTCAATAATCATATACAACGCGTGGTCTGCAGCAGAGAAAAAGCCATGAAAATCTAAGAGGTTTGGGGATGAAAACCTGAGGAGACGTTCTGATACAGTGTGAAGCCCGGGAACGCAGATGCAAATCTGGGTGAAAAAGCATGGTCCGCAATTGAAAACAAAAAACATTCTTTGGATGGAAAAACTGGATGAGACCAAAATGCAAAAATACAGAGCTGGTAAAAAGAAATAAAATAAGCAGAAAAAACGATGCATCGCTCAGAACAACCAGTCAAATTGAATTTCAAAATTCAGATATGAAAACACAAGCTGAATAACCGAATCTAATTTAACTCATAGCTGCATGTTCTTGTTGCAAAGAAGCATGACAAACTTGAAAAGCAGAAAACCAATAACTACTAAGATTAAAAAAAAAACCCATAAAGCTGAAACCATGATGGTAGGATTGGAATCGATGGGATAAAATCCAAAGTCAACTGTAATCCTATATTTATGAAGCAAGAAAAGGAATGCTGGCAAGACAGTCTCTAACAACACAATGCTTCCGTAAACTAACATTGTCTGGATAGCATTTTGTTTTTTTACCAAAGAGAAATAATGAAAATATTTGCGTACACTATAATAACATGCCAAGTCTAATGGACTGTAGTTAAAATCACAAAAAAAAAAAACCCGAATTAAGCAAAGATAGGCAGTCTAACAATTTCTGAAAAAGCACTCGCATCCAAAGGTGAATTATAAGAAGCAAAAGATGCATACATGGAACATGCAAGGAAGGAGCAGAGTTTTGAACAAACCAGAAAGTTTCTTTTTTTAAACAGAAAAAGAAATAAACGCAGGCCGAAGGGCAAGCTGTAGCTGTAACATCGATTGGATAGTCGGCGCTAGAGAAGCTTGCAGAACCAGCTGTGAAAGCAATGCTAGACATGATCCCTATGCATCTGCTAGTCATGCCATGTGGTGTACAAGATGGACAACCAACACGGCTCTCTGATTAATTGACAGAGATAATCGCAAGCAGCATTGAACTTGCATATAGCGTCCTGGAGGCAGTCTAAGCTAACGCAACCCCCTGACATAGCACCCAATCCTAATTAGCTCGACTGTTTCAAAGTGGAACCCCCTAAATTTGGTTTCTCAGAAACAGCCAAGATTTTGAATTAACCGATAGTGCACTCCCTTGTCCCGACACATTCCAAGAAAATGTGGCTGCCATGCTAAGGAAAAAAAAAACAAAACGTTAGGTGCTCACAAACTGATTGAACAGTGTATGAAAAGTATGAAAGTGTGTGAGAAGATTGTAAAAATCCCGAAAGATGACTGCTACCTAACCCGATCAAGGAAAAAAACCAAACCTTCACAACCTCTCACTATGAACCCATACTTCCAGCCAGAACAAAACGCAAAGCCCAACCAAAGAAAAAGGATGACAACCCTTCCCTCCACAAAGGACAACACCAGAAGCATGCAGACCTTAACGTGCATTAAATGGAAGTTAACTCAGAGAGTCCAAAACCGTATGAATTTCCACCTTTCCTGGGCGCAGTGAAGCGCCTCCTAGACTGAGTAGCAGCCGAAAGAAAAGACAAGCTTCCAGGATATGAGACAGCAGCCATCAAACACACGCGTGCCATGATTTAAGGAAAAAAACTGATAGGTAACATGGAGTTGCGGCAGCACCTCAAATTCAGGGGAAAAAAACATGTCAGCCGAAAGAAAAGGCTGCAGGCGAAGCACAAAGGGTGAAGGAAAAAACAAAACTCTCTTCTAAGACCAACCAAACACATGAGAAGCCCAGCTGAGCAATATGTCCCCTAGCCCCAATCCTAAAAGACCAAGCCCAAAACAAATGATCCAACAACCCAAAGAAAAAGAAATCAAAATTTAAAAAAAACAAAACGACCCCACAACCCAGCAAAAGAGAATAGGAAATTATCTCTAGTGATTCTCTCCAAGGCCTTTTTAGTTTTTTTTTTTTTAATTATAATTATTTAATTTGCCGTAAAATTAACAAAGGACATAGAAGGATGCAATAGAAAAAAGAGACACAAAAGGAAAGTCCTACAATAAACGTCGTTAGCATATGTTATTCTTTTTTTTTTTTTTTTTTTTTTTTTTGCGTTGGCCATTGCCTATACTTTATCAGTTTTTCTACACCATGAGTATGCAACTTGATCCAACTTTTATGCTATGTTATGTCTTGCTTTATGGTAATTGTTGTTAATACTGGTATCATGTAGTTGACGATTGGAATTCAATGCAGAGTGTAAGCAGTAGATCAAAACCAGTATATATTCAATACAAAGGGGAATTGATTTCTTCGCACGTTCATTTTCAAAGCCCTGGCTTAGGGCCGACTCCGAGCTCAGTAAACTGTAAACAACTAGCGATGGCCACCAGCTTACGAGACAAGACATTCATTTCAACCTTAAATACTCTCCATCTACCACATCATTAAAAATTTCCCGAGTACCGACTTCCAACAACTACCTACCAAATGAATTTACATTTTTCTCCACATGTTGACAAGGCCATCTGCAAATGACTTCAAGCTTCCCCACACAGTTGATTTCTTCGGAAGTTCCGCACCATCGGTGTGCGTGCTAGAGATGTCTCTGGACAATGGAAGCATGGCGTTAATTGTCACTCTTAAGCAGTAAGGGGCAAGGAAAATCACACCATACGTGAGAACGTGAACTGATGATACTTTACAGGGGGCATTCAGGGATAGAATGCACATGCTGAGGACAGAAGTCTCCAAGAGGCTTACATTTAATAAAGCACGTTCTATTCTATAATGAACATCTAAAGAAACAGGAATTCCTATACTTCATTATATAATTATAGGAGTTACGGAATGCATGAACAACTTTAGCAGAAGATATGAGGGACCTTGCAAGGGTGTCCACTAAGACCACAATGATGAAGAATTACTAAAGCTTTCCTTCTAGCCACCTATGGTTAATAAATGTTTTATGGAACTTGGCAGGGTAAGAAGGCGTTTGGAAATTTCCTTCAATGAACAACACCCCCCCCAAAGAAACCCATTAGCTGAAATGTGATTATATTGACACGGATTATATTTACTGGGCAGTTTCTAGACAGGGCACACCCAGAAGAGTAATAAAGACAGCTTTAAGAAGAGAATTTTATCAGCAGAAAACAATGCCAGAGCCTCTAACAACTAATTCAATAACACATACTCTACTTTAACAAATATGTGTGGTATCACAGTAAATATGCATCACCTACTTTACTTACCACACCAAAGAATTCCCCATAATAATAACATATTCAGATTCCCATGTAGTTATTTTATTCACTTATCATGGACTGATTTTTCTTCACTTCAAAAAAAACATCCTTGGTTCACGTGAATATGTACTTAGCTGGAAGTAACTATTCTTTTTAGATACTCGTTTGATTACCAAAGAAAAAGGTCAAAAAAATGGAGGCTCGACAACTTTCAGAATGGATGCAGAAATTTAAATCCTATGGGTCTCCAGAAAAAAAACATTAGCTATAGCTCCGACCTATACTTCTTGGGCATCTTGCAGGAACCATAAATAGTGAGACTGCCCTCAATCGGCCAAGTCAGAAAAATACTTATCTAATTTTCCTCCCAATAAATTAACAGTGACATAACTGTTGTTGGGTGATCCTAACTGTTTCTTTCGTAACGTGTAAGGCTATTTAAATCCTTGAGCTCTAAGACCTCAACATAAAGTCAAATAATTCTATGCAACCAGAAAATCCATCAAAGAAACATGTGAAACAAATTCAAGTTTCAACTGGAAAATACTATCAAGAAAACTCTGTGAGGACTACCCTAAACAATTCTCGAACAAATTCATGGTGAAAGAAACTGAGAAGGCAAATAGACAAGAAAGATTGGGAGGAAAAAGGTGTGAGAAAAAATAATAAAATGAACAGAAAATGGGCAAAAAATTATCTAAAAGAAAATGAGAATTACCATTAGTTATAACAAAATCAGAATGGTCATTTTGAGTTTCCATCACTTCATGTTCCACTGATTTTTCAGGGCAATGAAATGCTTCCTTATCAATTCTTTCCAGAAGCTTACCTTGAGTTCCAACTGTATCAGAATGCTCCTGAAAGTGCTTCTGAAAGTGCCATAGAGAGAAGGTAATGAGAACGGTCCAACACATGCTCCACTCTCACTTAATAGTACGAATTTGGTAATATAGCCTTTTCTTTTAAAATAGATGGATGACGCCATAAAAACACAAAGAAGTCAACAATTCTTTTTATAGCAACCAGTGAAAATGTTCATATAGGTTGGGGAACACCAGTTACAAAAATTTATAGAAATTGTGTTGATTTATAGCCAACTCCAATTGTCATCTCTTTGGAGATTCTTGAAAACAAAGCTATTATTTACTGCATTACTGTAGTAAAGTATGCTGTGCTTATTGTGCTCAGGAATCAATGAAAATTAAGACAGTGCAATAAACATCAAATACTTACAGGAGAAATGGGGTTTCCAAACTCTTGAGAGACCACCTTCTCACAAGTTTGCAGCCCTCCCTCCACTTCTAGATATCTGTAACTTGTGTCACCTACATCATTTAGAGGAACTGCACGTGGGTCACATTGATTTCTCATATCTGAGATTGCACCTCCAGTTGACATGTTTTTAACTTTAACCAAGGGCTCACTCATGATAGGTAGCTCCTTTTTCTTGTTTCCACTGTTTAAGGATGAAAGCTTAGATTTGTATTCTAGTTCTTGAACAATTTTCCTAATAAAATAGTAATTGCCACCAGCTTCTTTTTGAGCATCAGAAATGGATGGAAATTTTCCAGCATGTGTTTCCCTGTACCTGAAAAAGTTAATGGCAATATAATAATTCAGTCCCAGAATAACTTTCATGTTAACACAACATTGAACTCATTCAATGCTATCATAGCATTAGTAAGATTCCACACAAAATGGTGGTCTTCAAATTTACTACCAATGATGACAATGTCTGAAAGGCATGATCTTAAAAGTGGAAACTTCATGGAAGAACAATCTCCACTTTCCTCATCGATTTCAAATAACTTTCTAGGCGTCCAGATTGAATACAGGGAAATGTATCTACACTTCAACTTTGCATAGCATCCCAAAATTTTTACTGAAAAACAATATCAGTGTTGAACCTTTAAGTCGGATCAAAGTGATCAATTTTCATGATAAGTTGACATGTCAAAGTAATCACAAACCCCTTTTATTTTATTCTTTGTCTTCAACTAAAATTTTTTCCCTCAACTATAAAAATCCAAATTTAGCAACTTTGCAGATGGAATAAAAAGTTACCAGCTGCAATATGATATAATAAATCAAGCTGGTTAGAGGAAAAAACAAAGGAGGGGGGGGGGATTACTTGTTTACATAAGATTCCACCATAGCTCGCCGGTCATCTTTGGAAACTCTCTTCTGAGCTTTGTGACTTTTTGGCATGTGAGAAGGAACCGACGCGGCATATGACCTTGCACGCCACTGCATATTCGCCCCATGTATGGCATTGGCCACCTCATCAAACACTGTCAAGAAGCGATATGCAGGTTTAGGAGCATGTCTGTTTGATGCAACAGCAGTGAAGAGAGACTCACTTTACAAAGACTCCTACTGCTAGATACTGTACATAAACTTCCACGCGAAATAAGAGAAGGAAAAAACAAATTATTGGTTCAGAACAGCAGCAAAGATTTCCACGATATTTTTTTGTTTTTGCAAAACTTTCAATTTGTTTTCTCCATCAAGTTAGCTATCCAATTTACATCCAAAAAGGGGCGGCATCATCATCAACAACAACTCTCTTTGGACTGTAGGATAGAACCAACGATAATATCCAGATTGAATTAGAAGAAGAAGAAGAAGATCAAATAAAGAAAAAACGTACCCGTAGAAATGGTGGATCGAGCGGATCCTCGTCTGATTATGTGGATCATCATTTATTTGTTTTCTTTGATTTACCCATCCACTGCTATGTACTGCTACTTATTATTATTATTATTATTATTATTGAAAAACAGAAAGCGAAGCACAGAATGTGCAGTTGCAGCAGCTGGAGAGGGAGAGCTTGAGAGAGGAGGGAGGGTTTAGACCTGGCTTTGAGAAGGGACGGAGGAGGGTTTAAGCCTTTAGGGTTTTAAATTTTCATTTCATTTTCAATTTATGGGCTGTTCTGGTTCCGAGTCTGCCCCTTCTCCGTTGGGGAATTGTTTTTCTTTTGTTTTCATTTACCGTACTTTCTTCTTATAGATTGGTGACGAGTCCAGGACTATCACTCTTGTTCGTAGTTGCAATTCCACCAAACTTTTAGTCTTAAATTAATTCTTGAAATGGTTATAATTTTAATATTAAAAGTAATTTTTTAAAAATAAAAAATATATTATTTTAATATATATAAATAAAAAAACAATTTAAAAATCAGATAGACCGAGCAGGCTCATAATTAAGCCTGGGAAATGCCTCTTTCTTCATCGTGCTCTCGCACGTCATGCGTCCATTGAAGTCACAAGCCCGAGACTTGGCAGGCTAGGCCCATTAAAGCCACCAGCTAAAGACCTATTCACCATAAAATTTAGAAAATAAGAGGTAATTTCGATTTGGTCGAGGAGGTGGGAAAAACATTTGGAGGAGAAGAAACTGATGGATTTAGGAATTGTGAAATTAAAGTAAAAAAAAGAAAGAGAGCTATATATTAAAAGAAATAAAAATATGTTGATAAACCATTTACAGACACAACACAAGGGGGTAGAATCATCTATCAGTATTCAGATTTGTTGATAAATCAGATCAGATCATAGAAAAATAAGAGGAAGGAAGGGAAATGTTGCGATTAGTGGAAAGCTGAGTGATTTATTTTTTTTGGCTGGATTTCAACACATGGAAGGCAGCATTTTGGACAGATTTGCTAAAGGGTTGAAGTTGGGGCACTGTGTTAGAATATTAGAGTGTTCATCAGCAGCTTCAACAATAAATCCAATAACATGTGCACCGATAAATCAATCCATTCATTTTGTTACTAGTTCAAAATCATCCAGCTAGTTACTTGATAAGATTCCCTATTTTTCTCATGTTTGTTTTCTTATTATGGTCTTCACAGTTTACTTGTACAGTTATAAAAACAATGGAAAACTATACAGAACAATGTGAAAACTAAAGTTAATCAAAAGTCATCTTCTGTCTTCCTATCTCTATCTGAAAGGAATCTTTAGTAGTTTTTCCAGTAGATCCTCCTTTCTCTCAATGAATTGTATGTTTAGGTGTGCACACATGTACAAGATAGATCAAGAAAGCATCCATCATCTTCTTTTCTCGATGAATTTTAATTATTCCTTCCTTTCCTTTTTTCAATTTCATTATGAACTTGGAATAAAAATGGTTATATCTCTTTTCCATTATCATAGGATTTGTAATCTCGGATTGTATGGATAAGAAATTGGGAGCTGGAATGTAGGAATTATTTGACCATGTACTTGTGTGTACAATCTTCTTCTCTCCCTGTATCTACTCAAATGCATGGGATCTTTATGAAAGTGAAGTTTGTTTCCGCTATTCTTGTTATTGCTAGAAATTATCTTCAAAAATATATTTGGTCTCTGTAATGTTCATAAAACTCTAATAAATTTTGCACATCATTTTTTTCCAAACTTATTTTTAAATCTATCACTTAAATATTGCATGGCGAAGTAAAATGGTTTTTGCACATGAAGCTGACAGACTTCATGAAGGATGTTTACAATTGATGCTGATTCTAAATTTACTTTCTGTATTCTCTCATCAATAATTACTTGTCTGTCTATTATCAAGTGAGAGACGAGATTGAACATCTATTAGATGACAATGAAGACATGGCAGATTTATATTTGGCAAGGAAATGGATTCAGAATCAGCAATATTATTCCTTGGTCGAAGCTGCGGCTTCAGGTAGCATAACCCCTACTACACCACGTCTCCCTTGAGTTGGCTCTAACTGGAGTGCAAGTACAATGACTGGCAGCGTTTTGGATGATGATGGTGTAGAGGATTTGGAGATGTTGCTTGTGTTAGGGTATTGATTGACAGCTGCTTCCAACATATCAGGAGATAATATCTTTATAGTTGTCCCAGGATCAGGATTGCTAACAATGATACCAGCAAACTCAACATTATTTCAAAGACTCTACAGGACACTATCAGGATTGCCAATAGATGAGGAGAGTATTTCAAAGACTCTGCAAAACACTAGCTAGTTTGAAATTCAAATTTGTAATCTCTAGTTTATTCTACTTCAAATACTCAATTATTGGTTTAGTATATAAATCTATATAAACCCATATATACACGCGAGAATAAGAAAGATGTAATCAAGTGAAGTCATTCCATTTTAAAATACATATTTGCAAAATTCTACTCTACTTCTTTTTGTTTAATTTTTCATGGTATCATAGCAATAGGCAAACACCTCATTCGTTCTAACTGTTTCCGCACAAAAATCTTCCTTATTCTCGTCATTCCTACTATATTCAAATGGTTTCCATGACTTTCTCTAATACCACACATTTTTCCTCTCCATCTACACAACATAGTCAATCAATCTCACAACTCATCAGCAACAAACTTGAAGGAAACAATTATTTGACATGAAGTGTTCCGTTTCAAGTTTTTTTTTTGAAGTCATGATCTGAATGATATGATTGATGGTTCTGAAGAAGCACTATCCAAACTTCTTTTAGATAACTCTCCTAATCCAACTTACACAACTTGGTTCAAAAAAGACAATTGTGTTTTAAGCTGGTTGCTAGCCTCTATTTATAAAAAGCTAGTATTACTGTCTTTAGTCTGAAAACTTTCAAGCAAGTTTGGGATTCTCTTCAAACTCGTTTTTCAGCTACTTCAAGGTCTCGTATTACTCTTCTTAAGAGACAACTTCAAACTATTGTTTAAGGAAATCAATCATGCTCTGTATTCTTTGAAGATGCTAAGTGATTGGCTGATCATCTTGCTGCAGCAAGCCAACCTGTGGATGATCAGGATTTCATCACTTTTTTACTTCGTGGTCTTCGTGCCACCTATATTTCATTCATTACGTTTTACAATTTTGTTTGCAGGGATAAGGAATTATCTCTTGATGATTTTCAATCTGAACTTTTAAGTTTTGAGACACTAGTTGAAGCACCTACTCTGATGCAAAATCAAAATTTTACATTTGCTGCCAAGCACACTAATTATCCCAAAATAAAGCCTGCAGGTACTATTCCATGATCTCAATAATTTGTTGTATCAACATAGCCTCGTGGTCCTCCTAAAAATCATTTAAATCATGATAAGGGAGCCCATTATGAACGACTGAAATGTCAGATATGTAATAAGCATAATCATATTGCTTTGGATTGCTTCCAGCGCTTTAACTTCTTTTTTCGAGGTAGGAGGGCACCTTCTGAGTTAGCAGATATGGCTACTGAAGCACATAACACCTTTAAGCATCAAACTTGGTATGCTGATAGTGGTGCTAATGCTTACATTACTGCCAATGCAGCAAACTTGACAACCCTTTAACCATATGATGATCATGACACTATCAAAGTGGGCAACGGTTCAGGTTTGATCATAAAAATTATTGGATTCTCTACTCTACACACAAACCATAATTCTTTTTAGTTAAATAAAGTATTTTATTATTCTCAAGCTGCAACCAATCTATTATCTATTAACCAACTTTGTCTTAATAATAACTGTTATTTTATTCTAACTGAAATGGATTTTTATGTTAGGAGAACAAAACTGACAAACTACTGCTCCACGGGCTGGTTGAGGATGGACTCTATCTAATAAATGGGAACAAGAATTTCATCAATAAATTTTGTTGTCTAACCTCTAAGTTAGGAACAAAAGCCACCAGTGATCAATGGCATGATCACCTGGGACACTCTACCAATGATATACTAGAATATTTATCTTTTTTCCTGCAAATAAAGAAACTAGCACACAAGTCTAATATTTATTGCCCTTGTCAACTAGGAAAAGCAAAAAGATTATCTTTTTCCTGATTCCAATAGACAATTCATAAAAACTCCTAGCTTTAATTCACAGTGATGTTTGGGTATCTCCTATCACTTCAGTTAGAGGTTGTCGCTATTATGTTTTATTTATCGATGACTTCATTTATTTTTCATGGATGAATCCTATGCATTTCAAAAGTGATGTTCTTTCAATTTTTCTTGATCAATTCAACCATTGCAATCTGATAATGGTAGAGAATATCTATCCAAAGAGTTTCAAATATTTTAAGAAAACAATGGCATCTTTCATAGATTAACATGTCCTTATATATCCCTACAAAATGGTGTAACCGAACGTAAATATAGACATATTCAAGAAATGAGGTTAACTCTTTTAGCCAAAGTAGGTCTTTCTAATTATTATTGGGTAGATGCCTTCTTGACATCAGTATACTTGATAAATCACCTACCCATCAAAGTTCTTAAAAAGCTACCACCATACTTTATCCTTCATAAAACTATACCTAACTATTCTGAACTTCAAACCTTTGGATGTGCCTGTTATCCTTATCTCATACCATATGAAAAACATAAATTGACTTTTCAAAGTAAACAATGTATTTTTATAAGATATTCCAGTCAATAAAAAAGGTAGCGTTGCTTAGAATATAGCACAGGTCAAGTTTTTATTTTGACACATGAAGTTTTCGATGAAACACATTTCGTAGCTTAAACACATATCCTTCCGTTACCAGCCCCATGACTAGTAAATCTATCGGTATGTCTTCTCAACCTCTATCATTTTCTTTACCGACAATTAATCAAGACTTCAATATTCTTCCCATTGCTTCATGTCCAGAATTCCCAACAGTGATACCAGCAAATTCAACATTTCCAACACCTACTACACCAAACCTTTTGTCTCCTGCAACAGTCACTACATCTGTAACCTCTTTTCTCCCAACAGATGATTTCCATACAAAGAATCCTATAATAGAAACCGTACTTATAACTTTTCTTTTCCACCAGATGATTCCCATATAAATAATCCTATACCATATAGAGAAATTCTTACCAGGTCTAAGATAAGTAAACTTAAAGCCAAAAAATTTCCTGGTTTCAAAACATTCTTTGTTACACGACACCTTCTATGTGTCTTCTCCAGTATTATGATTGAATCTGAACCTACCTATTTTACAAAGGCAGTGACTAACCCAGAATGGCAAACAATAATAGGCTATGAATTTGATGCATTGTGGCTAATAGGACATGACCTCTTTGTCCAAGGCTATTAAACAAACATGTTGTTCGTAACAAGTGGGTTTATAAGATTAAAAGAACTCTTGATGGCAATATTGAACGTTACAAGGCAAAGCTTGTTGCTAAGGGGTTTGATTAAATTTCTAGAATTGATTACTATAACACTTTCTCTCCAGTAGTTAAACCTATTACCATACGGTTAGTTTTGCCTTTTGATGTCTCTTTAAAATGGAATATTAAGTAGTTGGATGTTCCAAATGCCTTTTTACATGGCATTTTGGATGAAAAGGTATATATGGAACAACCGAAAGGCTATAAAGATGATAATTTTCCAGAGCATATATGCCACTTGCATAAATCACTCTATGGCCTTAAACAAGCCCCTAGAGCTTGGTTTCAACAACTCTCACAGCAACTGGTTGAATATGGATTTTCAAAATAAAAAGTGGATTATTCCTTATTTACATACACTACTGCCATTTTACCCATATTTGTATTAGTGTATGTTGATGATATTATTGTCACAGGTTCTAACACCCAAGCAATCCACCACTTTATTGATAAACTGAAAACAGAGTTTCAAGTTAAAGATTTGGGTGAATTGAACTACTTCCTTAGAATTCAAGCACTACGAAATCAAGAAGGCTTACACCTATGACAAGCTAAATACATCACTGATTTACTGCACAGCACATAAATGATTGGTGCGAAACCTTTGAACTGTCTGTCTTCTTCAGAACCAAAGTTGTCATATGCTACTGGTAATATATATTACATGATCCCACTGACGATAGAAGAGTTGTAAGTGCTCTTCAATATTACACCATTACAAGACCATATATTGTGTATTAAGTAAATCAGTTTATGCCAATTTATGCATTGTCCTCGTGATGTCCACTGGAAAGCTGTGAAGCATATACTATAATATCTGAAGGGCACTATCGATATTGATCTTTATTATGTTCCAGGAGATATCAAACTAAATGCTTATGGTGATTCCGAATGGGCAGAAGATCCAGATGAAAGACACAACATCATTGGTTATAGAGTATTCTTAGGCACGAATGTCATTTCTTGGAGTAGTAAAAAGCAAAGAGTTGTCTCTAGATCCAGCACTGAGGCTGAATACAGAAGCATGGCTCATACAATTGTTGAATTGTATTGGCTTCGTATGATTTTCCGTGATTTGAAAATCACTTTGCCTATAACACTGAATTTATGATGTGACAAGATATGTGCAATTGCCTTATCTTGTAATCATGTTTTCCAAGCACGAACGAAACACATAGAGATTGATTATAATTTTATCGAGGAGAAGGTGATTAATCGTGATATCCAAGTTAAACACATTTCCACAAAAGATTAGATTACAGATATTTTTGCAAAAGGTTACTTTGTCACTCATTTTACACTTCTGCGAAGCAACCTGTCTGTGTGTATCCTCCCCAACAGTTTGAGGGGGGGTGTTAGATTATTGATAGCTGCTACTAACACATCAGGAGAGAATATCTTCATAGTTACCACAGGATCAGGATTGCCAATAGACGAGGAGAGTATTTCAAAAACTCTGCAGGACACTGTCAGGATTGCCAACAAATGAGGAGAGTATTTCAAAGACTGCAAAACACTAGCTAGCTTGAAATTCAAATTTGTAATCTCTAGTTTATTCTCCTTTAAATACTCAAATATTAGTTTAGTATATAAATTTATGTAAACCTATATATACATGTGAGAATAAGAAAGATGTAATCAAGTGAAGTCATTCCATTTTAAAATACATATCTGCAGAATTCTACTCTGCTTTTTTTTTTCTTCTTAATTTTCAACTTGAGGCTTATTTTATACAGCTAGATGGAACATGTAATAAAATATTATCTGTGAGTATTGCTGCCGTGACTTCAAAATGACAAAAAGTTAACCAAAGAATTGTCTTGATAAATTTTAAAAAATTTACGTGGGTCATTCACTAAGGATCCTCTTGGTCCAAAAGTTGGAATGATGTTCATTTTTTATAGTATTAGAAGAATTATATTATAATTTTTATATTGCTAAATTACATGGAACACCATCTTTATTTGATGGGTTCCATAATTTGAGAAGCTCATGAGACTTTATATTAGTTTGAGATATTTTGGATGAACTTGAACTTTATGGAAGTTTGTGTGGTTCTAGTTGTTGTTTTCTAGTTAGTTCTGAAAGAGCTGCATTTGGTGTCATGCTAAAATCAATTCCCGATACAAATCAGAATCGGGCAAGGAAGCAATTAAAGGGATTAATGACTCCAGTTAAGGTTTTGCTTATACAATCGATCGTAGTTTAATCAGGGGAATTTTCAATAAGGGAATCATGAATACGAGAAAGCGGCATAAAATGCTTTATCATTCAAATGTATCTAATATTTGATTGTTGAACTACTCAATCCATTCATGGTGGTTATTTAGTTTCATACTCTTGAAGTTAACTAGGCTGTTCTTGAATTTTCAAGTTCGTGAGTACATTGATGATAGAGAAGATTATGACAATATTCAGCTTGATAACCAGCAAAATGAACTCATCTAGCTCCAACTACTTGTTAGGATTGTTACTATTAATATACAGCAATCATATAACATCTGCAGCCCCTACTCTAGAAGAGGGTTGCTATTGTCAAAAGACCATAATGGTAGGTGGGTATTATCAAACAAGTTGCACCAACCATTGATAAAATAGTGCAACCCATTTGCTGCCACCATTATTGAAGATGAGCTGGAGCTAAATGCAACCCATCTGCTACCACCATTATTGAAGATGAGCTGGAGCTAGTGGCACCATTGATGCCTATAAATAAAGGCATAAGTTAAATAACAAAGTTGAGAGAGAAATTGAGCAATATGTGAGGAATATAGGAGAGAGTGAGTTGTCAAGAGTAACAAGTAGTGACTGCCATTGCAACACTGTTAAGAAAGAAGAGGAGTGATGGGAGGAGAGTACAGTGAATGATTTCTCTTCCTTCATTGTTGTAAAATCTTGTTCTCTCCCTATATAATAAGAATGACTTCTTCCGTGAATATAAGCAGTTTGTCGAATCATATTAAATATTATATTAATGTGCTTAGCTTCCAATGAACAACTATCAAAACATTACCGGTCGAAGTTCCTAACACTACCGTGGCGTCTTTTGTAATTGAAGTGGACACCTTGATAGCTGGGATGCTTGGCATGAACATTCCTTGTCGGTTGTATCAGATAAATGGGATTTTTGGCTACTTTGTTGGAGGTTCTTCAACCGGATTTTTGTTTCTTTTCCTGTTTGCTCTTGGTTATGCCAGATGGAAGAAGCTACTTGGTTCACAAGTCTAGCTCTTTGCCAGCTGCAGATGTGTGTTTAATGATATGGATTCTCCAAACAATTGGCTTTTCTACGAATCCTAGTGCAGTAGTCTTACAAGTACACAAGTGAGGGAGCATATTAATTCCATGAAATTACCTGTGCTTTTCTTTTTCTCCACACCAAAGTGTTACATTTTTGTTTCTTCACTCTTACTCTTCTTTTTTTCTTGGGACTTGAAAAACATGAACTCTACATTCATGTAATACTGATTTTTTCTTCCCCTTCGATGGCAACTAAACAGAGGGCTGCAAATGTTGGGTGTTCTGTTTCCAACTTTTTTTTGTTGTTTAGGTTTTCACTAATTGCTGAGAGGTTTATGATCCCCTGCATGGCACCGAATGATTCATTTAGCTGCTTCAAAGAAGTTTGGTACGGAAAAGTTTGAGCAGTGCATTGTTAATGTTTATTTTCCCTTTTCTGCGTCCAAGAAGACGAAACTAATTAAGTGAGGAGGTGACGGCATGAGTTTCAATGGCGAAGGTTTGAGCAATTTTGTCTACTAATTATTTTAATGTGTAATCAAACATGAAAAAATGGAAGGTTAGAAAACATCATCAAACAAGTCAAAGATCTTTTGACGACTGCTTCTGCAATATTTAAGAAACTCCGAAGAGCAGCATCGCAAGAACATGGAGAATTGTCATGACAGTTTTTGCAGCATTAGATCAAAAGGTATTCAACGGCAGTTTTTACTTCTCATATCTGGCATTGCACCTCCAGATGACAGGCTTTTTAACTTTAACCAACGGTTCCCTCACGATAGGAAGGTCCTTTCCTAAAACGCTCTTGTTTCCACTGTTTCAGGATGAAAACATCGATTCTATATCTAGTTCTTTAAAAGCTTTCCTAGCAAAATAGAGACGGTCACCAGAAATGGATGGAGATTTTCCAGCATGTGTTTCCCTGTACCTGAAAGAGGTAATGGCAATATAATAATTCCATGTAACTGAAAGCATTTTTAAATGTGGAGCATTCAACTTCTGACTTAGCAGACTAACAAGCAATTAGCATCCAAACATCAAACTCTGAACGTTGTTGGACCAGTGCGACAGCCAAATATTTCAATGCAAGATCTTTGAGTCTAGTATGCTCCCCCTTAAATTATGCCTCCTACATGAAAATTAAGACAGTGCAATTAACATGTAACACTTACAGGAGAAATGGGGTTTCCAAACTCTTGAGAGACCATCTTCTCACAAGTTTGCAGCCCTCCCTCCACTTCTAGATATCTGTAGCTTGTGTCACCTACATCATTGAGAGGAACTGCACGTGGGTCACATTGAGTTCTCATATCTGACATTGCACCTCCAGGTGACATGTTCTTAACTTTAACCAACGGCTCACGCACGATAGGAAGCTCCTTTCCTAAAACGCTCTTGTTTCCACTGTTTGAGGATGAAAACATTGATTCTATATCTAGTTCTTTAAAAGCTTTCCTAGCAAAATAGAGACGGTCACCAGAAATGGATGGAGATTTTCCAGCATGTGTTTCCCTGTACCTGAAAAAGGTAATGGCAATATAATAATTCCCTCCTACAATAACTTTAATATTAACACAGCATAGAACTCATTCAATGCAATCATAGCATTGGTAAGATTACACACAAAAGTTAGATAGCATGAGACTGCCCTCAATAGTAACATTTTTATCTAATTCTCCTGCTCATAACTTAACTTTGATGTAACTGCTGGGCGATCCTAACTGTTTCTTTCGTAAGGTGCAAGGCTATTTAAATCCTTGAGCTCTAACATAAATTCAAATAACTCTATGCAGCCAGAAAAACTATCGAAGAAACATGTGAAACAAATTCAAGTTTCAACTGGACAATACTCTATCAAGAAAACTCTGAGAGGACTACCCTAAACAATTCTCGAGCAAATTCTTGGTGAAAGAAACAGAAAAGGCAAGTGCACAAGAAAGACTGGGAGGAAAAAGAGACGGTCACCAGAAATGGATGGAAATTTTCCAACATGTGTTTCTATATACCTGAAAAAGGTAATGGCAATATAATAATTCGGTCCCACAATAACTTTCATATTAACACAACATAGAACTCATTCAATCAAAGCATTGGTAAGATTCCACACAAAATTGTAGTCTTCAAATTTACTACCAATGATGACAATGTCTGAAAGGTAGTTATAATCTTAAAAGTGGGCACTTCTTGCAAGAACAATCTCCAATTTCCTCATCGACTTCGAATAACTTTCTAGGCGTCCAGATTGAATATAGGAAAATGTATCTAGACTTCAACTTTGCATAGCATCCCAATATTTTTACTGAAAAACAATATCAGTGATGAACCTTGAAGTCGCATCAAAGTAATCAATTTTCATGATAAGTTGACAAGTCAAAGTAATCACAAACCCCCTTTATTTTATTTCGTTGTCTTAAACTAACAATTTTTTCCCTCAACTATAAAAATCCAAATTTAGCAACTTTGCAGATGGAATAAAAAGTTACCAGCTGCAATATGATATAATAAATCAAGCTGGTTAGAGGAAAAAACAAAGGAGGGGGGGGGGATTACTTGTTTACATAAGATTCCACCATAGCTCGCCGGTCATCTTTGGAAACTCTCTTCTGAGCTTTGTGACTTTTTGGCATGTGAGAAGGAACCGACGCGGCATATGACCTTGCACGCCACTGCATATTCGCCCCATGTATGGCATTGGCCACCTCATCAAACACTGTCAAGAAGCGATATGCAGGTTTAGGAGCATGTCTGTTTGATGCAACAGCAGTGAAGAGAGACTCACTTTACAAAGACTCCTACTGCTAGATACTGTACATAAACTTCCACGCGAAATAAGAGAAGGAAAAAACAAATTATTGGTTCAGAACAGCAGCAAAGATTTCCACGATATTTTTTTGTTTTTGCAAAACTTTCAATTTGTTTTCTCCATCAAGTTACCTATCCAATTTACATCCAAAATGGGGCGGCATCATCATCATCAATAACTCTCTTCGGACTGTAGGATAGAACCAACAATAATATACAGATTGAATTAGAAGAAAAAGAAGAAGATCAAATAAAGAAAAAACGTACCCTTAGAAATAGTGGATCGAGCGGATCCTCGTCTGATTATGTGGATCATCATTTATTTGTTTTCTTTTATTTACCCATCCACTGCTATGTACTGCTACTTGTTATTATTATTATTGAAAAACAGAAAGCGAAGCACAGAATTTGCAGTTACAGCTAGAGAGGGAGGGCTTGAGAGAGGAGGAAGGGTCTAGACCTGACTTTGAGAACGGACGGAGGAGGGTTGCGGTCTTTAGGGTTCTAAATTTTCATTTCATTTTCATTTAATGGGCTGTTCTGGTTCCGAGTCTGCCCTTTTCTCCGTTGGGGAATTGTTTTTTCTTTTTGTTTTCGTTGACTGTACTTTCTTTTTATAGATTTGTGACGAGTCCAGGACCATCACTCGAGAGCAACGCCCATTGAGGTCACCAGCCCAAGCCTTAGCCGGAGAGGCCCATTAAAGCCGCCAGCTCTAGACCTGACCGCCATAAAATTTAGAAAATGAGAGGTAATTTGGTTTGGTCGAGGAGGTGGGAAAAACACTTAGAGAAGGAGAAGAAACTGGTGGATTCTGGAATTGTGATATTCAAATTAAAAAAAAAATCTGTTGATAAATCATTTACAGACACAATACAAGGAGAAAAATCATTTATCAGTATTCAGATTTGTTGATAAATCAAATCAAATCATAGAAAAAAAAAAAAGGAAGGGAAATGCTGCAATTCGTGGAAAGCGGGGGGTTTTTTTTTTTTTTTTTTTGCCTGGATTTTAACATGGAAGGCAGAATTTTGGACTGATTATTTAAAGGATAGAAGTTGGGGCACTGTATTTTCCATCTGAAGCAATTTGAGTTTTTTTTTTCTTTTTTTTTTTTTTGTTTAATGTTAGTGTCCGACTAACTTGCGTGGATCTAGACTAATCATACGGATTCTAAAGTTAACAACCATATAATTCTCCAGTAGTCTTGATGTTTGAGAGACTCGAAGCAATAACTTCTAGAAAGCAAACTTGAAACCTGGTTAGTTAAGCTACATCTTCAAGTTTTGAATTTTCTTTTCTTGTTTGGACTTGTGTTTGATCATAAGATTATTAATGGAGAGGATCAAGAATGGACAGAGAGAATGAGAAAGTTGTTGATCTTCCTTTAAAGAGATAGCATTTCTAAATAGAATCTTTAGTAGTTTTTCCAGTAGATCCTCTTTCCTTTCAATGAATTGTATGTCTAGGTGTGCACACGTTTAATGTTGGTGTCCGGCTAACTTACGTGGACCTAGACTAATAATATGGATCCTGAAATTAACAACCATATAATCCTCCAGTAGTCCTGATATTTGAGAGACTCGAAGCAATAACTTCTATAAAGCAAACTTAGAACCTGATTAGTTAAGCTACATCTTCAAGTTTTGAACTTTCTTTTCTTGTTTGGACTTGTGTTTGATCATAAGATTATTAATGGAGAGGATCAAGAATGGATAGAGAGAATGAGAAAGTTGTTGATCTTCCTTTAAAGAGATAGCATTTCTAAATAGAATCTTTAGTAGTTTTTCCAGTAGATCCTCTTTCCTTTCAATGAATTGTATGTCTAGGTGTGCACACATGTACAAAATAGATCAAGAAAGCATCCAGCATCTTCTTTTCTCGATGAATTTTAATTATTCCTTCCTTTTCTTTTTTCTATTTCATTATAAACTTGGATTTAAAATGGTTATATCTCTTTTTCATTATCATAAGATTTGTAATCTCAGATTGTATGGATAAGAAATTGGGAGCTGGAATGTAGGAATTATTTGACCATGTACTTGTGTGTACAATCTTCTTCTCTCCCTGTATCTACTCAAATGCATGGGATCTTTATGAAAGTGAAGTTTGTTTCCGCTATTCTTGTTATTGCTAGAAATTATCTTCAAAAATATATTTGGTCTCTGTAATGTTCATAAAACTCTAATAAATTTTGCACATCATTTTTTTCCAAACTTATTTTTAAATCTATCACTTAAATATTGCACGGCAAAGTAAAATGGTTTTTGTACATAAAGCTAACAGACGTCATGAAAGACGTTTAGAGTTGATGCTGATTCTAAATTTACTTTCTGTATTCTCTCATCAATAATGACTTGTCTGTTTATTATCAGGTGAGGGACGAGATTGAACATCTATTAGATGACAATGAAGACATAGCAGATTTATATTCGATAAGGAAATGGATTCAGAATCAACAATCAAATTCCTTGGTCGGAGCTGCGGCTTCAGGTAGCATAACCCCTACTACACCACTTCTTCCTCGAGCTGGCTCTAACCGGAGTGCAAGTATGGTGACTGGCGGCGTTTTGGATGATGATGGTGTAGAGAATTCTAGCCTTTTCTAACCGGGGTGCGTCCTTTTTTGGCTGTGATTAGTTATTTTATCCTTGACTGTATCGATTTAGCTTGTTTAAGATTTTATAGGCAGTCCTGCCTCCATAAGAGAAGAAAATAGTACACAATATTACTTGGTCTATGGCATTGGTTGTGTTTAGCTTTGTACTACTTGTTTACAAGCTTACATCATTTTATATTTTTGGTAGATGAGAAGTTTTGGAGCACAGTTTCGTGATGTGTAAAAAGTTTGAGTAGTGCATTGTTAATGTTTATTTTCCCTTTTCTGCGTCCAAGAAGATGAAACTAATGAAGTGAGAAGGTGAAGACATGAGTATCAATGGCGAAGGTTTTGGCAATTTTATCTATTAATTATTTTTTGGTAATTATTTTAATGCGTAATCAAACATGAGAAAATGGAAGGTTAGAAAACATCACCGAACAAGTCAAAGATCTTTAGACGACTGCTTTTGCAATATTTAAGAAACTAGCAAGAGCAGGATCGCAAGTCCTTGGAGACTTGTCATGACAGTTTTTGCTGCTTTAGCTCAAAAGGTATTCAACGGCAAAAGAGATAAACATTTTCAACTCCTAAGACTTGAACTTCAGAAAAGAAAATTATGTCAATCAGCGTTCTGCTATGGTCAGAATCAACCTAGGGCATGCAATGAGCTGGTAGATATTTATCTAATGTAAGGAATCAAAATACATTTCTTTTCTACAATGGTTGAAGGGGTAGAATTTAATGCCCAATGACAACCTGTTTTGAATCAGATACATCTATGCTGTCACACAATTTATGTCACTTGGTATCAATTGGGATGAACATGACACATACTGTTGAAATAGCCATCAAGACCTCAAACTGGATGATGGCTTTTGTAATCTGGCAGCTAGTCACCAGGCCAACTGCCACAAGAGGACATATCATGCCACCAACCTTCTCCGCAGCATTTGCAGCTCCAGCACCAGTTGCCCTGACGGATGTCGGATATAACTAGATGGAAACGATACCAGTATAAATCAATTATTCAGAACCAATTCTCCCTGCCCCTCAGATGTGTGTGTAGAGGTTTCTAACAAATGCATTTTGGAGTCAAAAGTCAAAAGAAAAATGATCACGGAAGTTAAGACTGAGATGATGGGAACTTTTTACCCAGTCAGCATCTTGCTACGGATAAAATGCCCTGAACAAAGTATTATAGGGCTTACCTCCTGACCATATATTGTAGCAACTGAGTAGGCTACTTTGGCACTCATTCGAGCTCCAAACAAGAATGACATCGTTAATGTTGCAGACTGATAGTAAACTAGAGGTAAAAGGAAGATACCAGCCAAGACAAACGTAACAGTTACCGTAAGCTTGCGGCCAATTCTATCTACAATAGTTGCTGACAAAAGAATCCTAGGAAGCTCTACAATATTATAGATTTATAAGAAAACATGTTATCATGCATTGCTTAATTTGGTAACTGTACAAGAAAGTTAGAGACAAGAGATATATAGTATATATCACATTGCAGAACAATTCTCAAAATGTCAAACATTAATTGCATAGAGATGAAGAGAGTAGGCATGCAATACCTGCCAAATTAGAAATAAATACATTTATGTAGAGGCTGTCAGGATTTTCTGATTTCAAGAGATTTGAGCCACATCTGCTTTGCCCACTACTTCACTTTGAAGTCAGCAATATGATACCATAATATGAGAATACATTTCCAAAGAGTAACTCCCAGAGAAGAAGTGTTGTTCGGATTAGTTTTGATGAGAAAAGCATAAGAAATGATTGGAATCCTGATCTAAAATCCAAATCCATTTTTTTCAGTGGTGGAGAGGAGAGGGGTATATTCTGATGTTGCAGATTCTTCATCCTGTCCAATTGTACTATCAGGAACAAGCTCTCTAGAAGGGAGTTTTAATTGGTTGAGCAGAGTTATTTTCTTCAGAATATTATATGCATAATTTATTCTGCCTTTCATGCATAGATACCTTGGAGATTCTGGTACATGAGAATAAAAGAGAAGCAGAGCAAATGCTGGTAAACAGGATGCTGCGAGTAGCCATCTCCAACTCAACCTTGGCATTACCATCTGCAAGAATTATAGAATACAATTGATTATGAAGAAAAGAATTTCCCGGGTGATAAGACATGTGAGGCATAAATGACTTTAATATCTGAACTTGTCTTCTCTTATGAGTTTTGTGCAATTTTAGCATGCCCCATGCTGCCCAGCTTGTACAGACACTGTAATGTAATATTAGCCGAGCAATGTACCACAATATCAGATAATGATGAGGAAAAATGGCCTTTAACACTTGCTACCATGAGCGTTTATAATAAAATCAAGTTTTTTTCAGCTACTTTTTTTGTTCAGAATTCAGGACATGGTACACACCTATGCAAGTAAAGCCTCAAAAATTGTCCCAAATGCCCAGAACCATGAGAGTAGAAGCATCCTTTTTCCTCTATGTGAAGCAGGAACAAACTCTAAAACCAAAGCTCAATACACTTCCACCACCCAGCCTGGAGCCAACCAAACAACGAAGAATCACCAGAGATGCATAATTTGGGGAGAAAGCACTCAACAATCCAGCTCCACAAGTCAAAAGAGTTGCTCCTAGGAAACCCTTCCTAGAAAGACCAAATGGAACTAAAACAACTTGTAAGATGAGGTAAAATATTTAACCATGGGTTTGTAGGAGTCTAGTGCAAAGATTCAAATCCAAACGGATGGTTCCAAAGAAAAACATCGTATTTGTACAGTAACATCTATAGCAGAATGGATCAACACTTGATGGAAACTTGATCTTTAGCTTTGATGGTGTAATGAGAAGGGTATTTACAGAATACTTGCCAGTTTGCCTATTTGGAAATCATTTGCACTTCATAAACTTTAAATTAAAAGCAAGCAAAACAGCAAAAAATAATAGGAAAACCACTAAATATTGCAAAACTGTGTAATTGGAACTTTGAAAGAGCAGATTTTGTCAACCCAAAACCTTAAATAGAGAAAGATCTACCATAGAAGCATCAGAAAAGTTTGTGTAAGTTTTTTCCATATTCTTGAAGCTATGCAATATCAACAAATATATCCATACAGACATTATGAAGGATTCTTAACTTTACACGTCAAGGAAACAGTGAAGATTATTAGCAAGGCACATCATATAATTAATGCAAGGAATAAGGGAGGAAATGATGGCTTGCCTCCTTCCATGATGATCTGAAACGAGTCCCCAAAAAAATGATCCAATAAGCATGCCACAAAAAACAACAGTTGATAGCAGACTCTCTTGGCTTGATGAGAGATCCCACTAGGACTTGACCGCTGGTCCCACAAAAGAGAGAATCATAACTTCCATTGCATCTGCAAACCAAGCAAGTCCAGCATAAACAAGCACGAGACGTTGGAATTTCCCAAATCCCACAGAAGCAAGCGCCTCATCCAAAGTGTATACAAGGTTTTCCCCATCCATCTATGTGGTGGCCGGTCAATAACATACCAAAGAAAGCAAAAAATTGTCACGGCCACAGGGTAACAAACAAACAAAAAATTATCATGTTTTATACATATTTAATTTCAAGATTGGTTGTATGATCATTAAGAAATCTCAGCGCTTACCCCGGTAGAGGTCTCAACTGGCTCATTCATTAGCATAGTGTCACAAATATTAGATTTCAATACAAAATTGTTCTCCATTTCCTTTCTTTCTCCCGGAAGAATTCAATCCTCTAAAATACATGTAATAATCCTTAATTTACTGTCTTTAATCCCTAATTTGTAGTCTATAATAAATACAATAAATACAAGATATTCTGCTACAATTTAGTTGCCATATATTGTTGATATTCTTGCCATAATATACACTGACATCCCCCCTCAAATTGATGTTGGTCAATTAAGAAGCATTAATTTGTCAATCATGAGTTGATGTCGAGGCCGAGACAAGGCCTTTGTAAAGACATCAGTTGTCTGATGCTCGGTAGAAATATGAGGTAGTGTAAGAATATTATGATCAAGAGCTTCACGAATGTAGTGACAATCAACTTCAATATGTTTAGTGCGTTCATGAAACACAGGATTAATAACAATCTGAATAGCACTTGTGTTATCAGCATGAAGAGGTGTAGGATTGTGCTGAGAAAAACCAAGTTCACGTAGCAAACCCTGGAGCCACACAATTTCAGAACATGCGGAGGACATAGCTCGATACTCAGATTCTGTGGAAGATTTTGAGATTCGGTCATGCTTTGTGCTTTTCCATGAAATTAAAGCATTTCCAAGAAACATACACCACCTAGTAACAGACCGACGTGTATCCATGCACCCTGCCCAATCTATATCACGATAACCTGTTGATTGTAATGAATTATCAGCAGGAAAAAATAATCCTCCTCCAAATGTGCTTTTAAGATAGCAAAGAATTCTTCGGATAACAGCTAAATAAGGTTGACGAGGAGCCTGTAAAAACTGACTGACTTGTTGTACTGCAAAAGAAATATTTGGCTGAGTAATGGTTAGATAATTCAAATCGCCCACCAATTGCCTGTATATGGAGGGATTAGGTAACATGTCATCATTATTCTGACAAAGTTTTAAATTAATCTCGAGAGGTGTAAGAACGTTATTCCCTGATTCAAGACCGCCCAAGAGAAGAATCTCTTGGGAGTATTTATGCTGATGTAGAGAAATCTCATTGGACATAGAGTGCACCTGTAGACCAAGGAAATAGTAAAGGTGTCTCAGATCCTTCATATAAAATTCATTATTAAGAGAACGCTATAAATCCTCAATGAGTGGAATGTCAAATCCTGTAATGATAATATTATCCACATACACCAGAAGAGCAACAATACCAGTAGTAGTTTGCTGAAGAAACAGAGAGGAATCATATTGGCTCTGAATAAATTTAAGTCTCAAAAGAGTAGTGCGAAATTTTTCAAATTATGCCCTTGGTGCTTGTTTTAAACCATATAGGGATCGTTTCAACCAATAGACTTTATCATATGGGTGAGTAAACATACCAGAAGGGGTCATATAAATATTCTCTTTCAGGTCTCCATGTAAAAATGCATTTTTTACATTCATTTGACGAAGTGGCCATCTCTTGGAAGCAGCAATTGTCATAAGGGTGCGTATGGTAGTCATTTTAGCCACAAGTGCAAATGTCTCCTCATAATTAATACCATATGCCTGACAATTTCTAAAAGCCACCAACTGTGCTTTATATCGTTCCACAAATCCATCAGGTTGGAATTTAATTGTGTATTCTCATTTGCAACCAATAAGTTTAATTCCAATAGGATAAGAAACACTATCTCATGTGTGATTATGGCCTAAGTTCCTCTTTCATGACCCGTTACCAACAGTCTTATGTAAAAGCTTGGGCATTAGTCTTAGGTATAAAAGTACTATTAATAGTAGTTGTTGAGTATCCATACCTGTTTGGGGCACGTGAAAGTCGAGTTGAACGTCTTAGTTGAGGGGAATGATCAGGTGTCGGTTCTGTGTCCGGAAAGGGCTAAGTGGATAGTGGATGACGTCTTTGATATACAATTCCTAGCTTAAAACATTCAAAGATATAAGATGGACTATCATCATCAAATATAGAAAGCTGGTTAGGAGTGGATTCTGTTGAGGGACAAGAAGGAAAAAAATTTTGATTTTCAAATAAAATCACATTTCGAGAGATACGAATTTTATGAGCATTTGCATCATAACACACAAACCCTTTATGAGAATTATTGTATCCTAGAAAAGCACAACGAGAAGCTTGGGCTGAAAGTTTATTACGTTCAGTAAATAGTAAGTGAACAAAACAAACACACCCAAAAATATAGAGGGAATCATACTCAGGAATAACACCAAATAAAATAGAGTATGGAGATGCAAAGTTTAGAACTTGAGAAGGCAAACAATTAATTAGATGAACGATTGTTGATAGAGCTTCTACCTAAAATCGAGTAGGTACCGAAGAATCAATTAATAAGGTGCGAACAACATGTGAAGGAAATGATAATGCTTTGTTTTTACCCAATTTGCAAGAACTACAATCCAAAAATTCTGTTGAAAAAGAATTTTTATTCCCCAAGTATCCATGTTTCATAAGATGAGTCAATACATTAGAATTAGGATGCCCCAATTTCTTATGCCAAAAATGAGGATTATTAATGACAGTAGAATAAGCACAAGAATTAATACTAGGAATAGAAAATTGTATTGGAAATAAACGTCCCACTTTAGGTCCCTTCGCGATCACCTTCGCTGACACTTGATCCTGCACACAACAACCATGACGATTAAAGTGAATTTCACAATTATTTTCTACTATTTGACCAACAGAGAGTAAACTTGTGGATAATTTTGATACATAAAAATATTCTTGAAATAAGACCCTAAATTTTCAATCGATAAAATCGGCAAATTATCACCATTTGCTACCTGTATATGCTGATTACCCATGTATTTTCACACATTACACAACTCATTTTCATTGTTGGTCATGTGATTCGACGCTGCTGAATCCATTAACCATTGTTTATTATGTGCTGAATCCAAGGGAAAGCTAAGTTTATTTTTCTTACCAGAAATCCCGAGTGCAAAGAAAGCAGATATTATCATTTGCTGCACCATTTCGGGAGTGAGAGTGCCTGACGAAGAGCTCAGCGATGATAAAGATTGTGGTGTCGACGGTGAGGACACAGCTGTGACAGCCATAGAAGCAGCTCCAAATTTTAACTGCACAGTAAACTCTTGTTGATTCTATGGTTGCAGATGACATTCCTTGATTACATGTCCCTCTTTCTTACAATAATTACAGAATTTCTTGCTGCAATTTCTGGCAATGTGCCCTAATTCTTTGCAATTAAAACACTGCACACTCACACCCCTCTGTCGTCCCCTTCCTTGAGCAATATAAGCCACATTCATCTCCGTGACAGTGTCCTAAGTCAACTCATGTTGAGTGGCGAGTTGTTGTTCTTCCCGCAATAGTTCCCCCAAACATTCATCCAAAGTGGGCATTGGACTTCGGTTGATCAAGCTAGCTCTCACGGCCTCAAATTCTGGCTGGAGCTTCATCAAGAACTAGTCCCTCTGGCTCTCGACATGAACAAGGTATAGTGCTTCTAAACTCTCTTTTGGTATTTTAGAGTAAATTATGCCAGTATATTCACTCTATAGGTTTAGAAATCCAGCATAGAATTGTTCAATTGAGAGATTACCTTGTTTGTAATTGGCAATACTCATTTCAACTTGAAATTTTTTAGCCGAATTGTTCTAGGAATAGATGCGTCTGAAGTAGTCCCAAATCTCCTTCCCTGTGCCAAACGATCGAAGATTGTTGATCATATGGGTTTCGACAGACCCCAATATCCAAGAGACCATTTTCGCATCCTTGGCAGTCCATATACTTAGCTCCTGTGGATTGGTTGGTGCTAGTGAAGATCCATCGAGATGCCCCCATAATTCTTTCCCTTTAACAAACATATGAAACTGAAATTCTCAACTAGCATAGTTTTTGCCATTGAATCGAATAAGAAAAGCCTCTTCTAACATCCTAGGAACCCTAAAAAAAATCACCAAATACTGATCATGAATTCAGTATGTAGATTGAAGAGAAGAACAAAGATCTAGATCAAAATAATTGGCTCTGATACTATTTTACAAATATCAGATTTCAATGTAAAATTGTTCTTCGTTTCCTTTCTTTCTCCCAGAAGAATTCAATCCTCTAAAATACATTTAATAATCTCTAATTTACTGTTTTTAATCCTTAATTTGTAGTCTACAATAAATACAAGATATTCTGTTACAATTTGATTACCATATATTGTTGATATTCTTGCCATAATATACACTGGCACATAGCAGTAGAGATCCATGTTATATATCACTGCTTTTACGTCACAAACCAAATTACTTGTAGTTTCAACTCAAGAAAGAGGATCAATAGTGAAGTATCAATCATTGAAAAAAGCAAAAGACTGAATACCTTACAGAAGCGGCCAACTGGATATAAGTTTATGAAGCTTTACTTGTTAATAATAATTGCTTGGGTACACATGGACACGAATCAAACAACACCAAACACTAATGCTGCTGTGACACTTTCTTGGAAGATGCATAAATGGAGCTGAGCTGCGCATTAGAACATATAATCAAGAAAATATGAACTAACCTGAAACTAGGAAATGAGAGTCTTCTTTGCGCTAACATATATACGGTTGTTACCATTACAATTGTCCAGTACCTGGAGAGGACAGGATGACTCTTTCAGTTGAAAAGAAGAGGATACAAGAACATACACACACACACACACGAGGGTGGTAATATAGAAGTGATCGAAATACATAGTTAAACATGGAAAATGAGAAAGCGAAGGCATGGTTGGTGTGGCCAAAGTAAGAGTATAGGCAAGAGCAGACAAGTGGATCTCATCATCAGCTAGTTGCTCCCCGTACCCATAAACAGATCAGTAACGGTTCATCGATCCCACGTTAAGAGTGTTTGCTGGAATGATGGGAGTTATTTCTTAAAAAAAATTATTTGAAAAAATATTAAAATTATATTTTTGTAAAAAAAATTATTTTTAATATCAAATCTGAAAATATATAAAAATAATAATAATAATTTTAAACGAAAAAAATAAAATAAATTAATATTTTTTAAATCACAAAAACAAATAGCATTTTTTGGTATGTCTATACAAGAAAAACCCGTTTCGCTCCTCTCAAATTCCCTGTATGAAAATGCGAAAGCTTTGGTGTCGAGTGATTGATCTTGTGGGATGGAGGAAATTGAGTATCCGAGAAGAAGTAGAACTAGAAGATGAGTAACAACGTGCAGTTTCTATAATTTCCTGGTGTCGACAAGTTTTTGATTTGCCTGCTGACACAATCAAACCCAAGTAGGTTAAGAATCAAAGAAGACAAGAGTATCGAATTCACGAAAATGGTTAAAAACACGAACCCTACCCGTACTTCATTTCTCATCTGAATTAAGAGAAAAGATTACGGTAGCTTAAATAGATCTGCAACGGACCAAATCAAAATGGAAGAGGAACCTTAATAGGAAATTAAATAAGAAAATAATAAGACTGACAAAAAAAGCATATTCTGAGCTTAATTTAAAAGCTTTCCATACCACGAACTAGTCACAACGAGCTAATCCATTATTGAACTTGTAGAATTTCCTCAATGATCTAATCAAAAGTTACGTCCAGTTTTTTCATATATATTATTTGACACAGCCAGGCCTCTTCTTCTTGAGCTTTGACCTGTACATCTGATTCAAAAATGTAGATGATGAGCTTTGTACGTAATACAAATCAACATATCCATATCCGACTATTCAATCCTTCTGCATTAGCTACGGTACCACACAACCAGTGCCGATCTCGATAATCGAAAAAAAGAACATGAAAAGGGAAGAAAAACAACTGTGAACAAGGTATGTTTAGAGCATATGATACATATATATGTTATGAACATTTTGCAAATATAACTATGAACAAATACCTTTTCTTAAGCCCGCAGATAAACCACTTTTGGCAGGAAAGAACGTTAAGCCTGCACTGAAGCAATTTCGGTTGGAATAACCCAAAAAGATAAAGAGAAACTAGAATTTCTCTTTTGAAAAACATATATAAAAATGACCAGACACTGAAAATGCTTGGTTCATGTTGTTTTTGCAGGCTGTTAACCAATTGTTTTTGCTCTCTTTACTGCATCCTCTCTTGTATTAGTGTGACTATTCTGAATTTCTGACACTCTCCCAGTGGTTAATTCCACGACTGGTCTACTCGGCGTTAAATTTAACACACTTCATATGATGCCCACGTAGGCAGCAGGCATATTAAAATTTAGACCTGCAAATTAATTAAGAGCATCGATGGGCCAGACTCCTTGATCTTAAAAGTAAGTCAACAAGGTGATTAATTGACAATTAATGGTAGCGTACCACCTATGAGCTAATAGATTCTTCTTCACCCGCTAGGAGCTGGAATCTGGGATATTTACAAGAGATTTTGATGCAGGCAGGCGTGTGAGTCTGAAAGCTGTGGATCACGTAGAAAGCCTAGAGATATTGAAAGTTAAGTGTGTAGTCAACTTCAGAATATGAGAAAGGCTGGTGCGGCCAGTTACTGATTCACGTGCTGACACCCACAAGGAAGAAATAAAAGATGAAGTGGACTGGCTGATTTTGCACTGCATGTTAATCTTGCGGACAAGGTAATAACAGGCATTGATCAGCTGCTCCGCAATAACAACCCATAGCTTCCCCTAATAACCACATAATAAATCACAAGCATCGTTGAGCTCCAAAGTTGGAAGGGTGCTGTCTTGGGTCCCGGAAGTCAAGCTAGCCGTGTCCCAGGGTAAGCACCATTAGCGAGCTAGCCAACTCAGTATGATCTGATGCTAGTAACTTCGAGCACTCTATATCGGGAAAAGCAGGATAGTGCTGTTTAGCACTCCTGGAAATACAAGTGAAGACAACTTTTTTTGTCCACTTCTGAGATGGCCTTTACATCCAAATTTCTTCGTTTTCAACTTACATGAGACTTTCATCAACCCGTTCCTCACTCGAAAAATTATGCAACAACACCGTTAAAAATTGAAAAGCATGATATTACTGTGCGAGATTCATTGATAGACAAAGCTAATCACGACGGGTTACAGTGATTTAAGTCAATATATTTTGATGTTTTATAGATAGAGACTTGTCATTTCAGAGCTTCTTGTTCTCGTTCCATAGATGTTCAATGAGAGGAGAAATTAAAAAGAATTCAACTCCTGAATTTGAACTGGCAAGGCAAGGAAGTAAATGATACATGTCGCCTCGTACTCTGCTATACATACTTAAATCAACCTTGCGCGACGAGGGAATAGGCATATACATATTTATCTATGTTAAAGGATTAGCATTTGTTCTCCCTTCCTAGACATAGCCAATTTGGCAGAACCGTGATCTGATACATGGACTTCCTGTTCTAAACAATCAAATAGCAAATACAAGAAAATACATCTAGTTTTCACTATGCTTGAATGGGTATAAATTTGATACCCAACAACTACTTGTTTGGATCAGATGCAGCTAAACTGTCACTCAATTCCCGCCCACTGGTCTCAAATGGGAAGAGCAGGACACAGACTACTGAAATAACAATCACAACCTCGAACAAAATGATAGCTTCCTTAAGATGGCAACCCGCCACTAGTCCAACTGCCACAAGAGGGCATACCATGCCACCAATCCTCCCTACAGCATTTGCAACTCCTGCCCCAGTTGCCCTAATAGCCGTTGGATACACCTAGAGAAAAAGGAAATTACCACAAATAAATTATTTAAAACCAGTTCAAAGGTCAACTTAAAGGTGCTTGAAGCAAATTGGAAAGGCATTAAGCACAATGGAAAAGCAATCAATTTCCATGGGTCATGACCATGTTATTGGCTAATTCTAATGAAGACAGGGTTACAACAAAATCACCTTCCAAATGCAATGACATATTATTCCTATTAATGGATTCAAGATAGAATAATGAAGGATCAATTCAAAGGATGCGGCAACTTGATGATGGACAAGAAACGGATCAATTTCGTAGAATTCAAAACAAAATCTTTTTAAGAGCAGTAGCAATTCATTTTGTATGCTGACTGACTATGATGAGAGTTATTCACTCCCAAAAGACTCCAGAATCATTCCAGTATATAAATAAAATAGAGGAAACATTCAAGATCAGCATGAAAAGAGACAAGGATGTATATTTCTGCTAGCCAATCTTAGCAGAGAAGAGAGTGGATTACATTCTTAACCATATTCCTATATTTTCCAATTGCCGATTGATCAATCTATGGTTTTATTAGCAAGAAAAATAAGCAACTAGAACAGAGAGAACAAGGGCGATGAGAAAGGGATTCCAGAAACTTGCATTTTCTAACAAATGCATTATCATGTTTCCCATCTAAAAACTACCTCCCTCAAGTTGGTTTCAACAGAAAAGATTATTGATCCTGATCAGAAAAAAGATGAAGGTGGGGAATATTTAAGCAATGATTCATTACAAAAAATTAAAAAAAAAAAAACAGAAGTACATCTTCAAGCAGTCAACCACTGCTTTTAATAAAAGGTCTTCAAAAAAAAATTGAGTATTCCAGGACTTACCTCTGGGGCATATATTGCAGCAACTGTGAAGGTTCCTATGGCACACATGCGAGCTCCAAATAACAATGCTGTTGTCAAAGTCGCATGCTGATGGAAAACCAGGGGTAGGAGGAAAATACAAGCTAAGACAAACATGAATGCCATTGAAAGCTTGCGGCCAAATCTATCCACAATAATGGCTGATAAAAGAATCCCAGGAAGCTCTACAACATAAATTTTTATGAAAAGATTTACCTGATCATTATTCCTTGAAATGATAATACTAAATAAAAATTTAAAGGTAAGAACTAATTACTTCATGTTGTAGAACAATTTTCAAATCTCAACATTAAGTGCAGAGAAAGTTTACTAGGCATGCAATACCTGCCAAACTAGTAATAAATACATTTATGTAGAGGCTGTCATCCTGGAGATTTTCTGACCGCAAGACAGTTGATGCACATTTTCCTTCCGCACTACTTAGCTCTGAAGTCAGCAATATGATACCATAATATGAGAATGCATTTCCAAAGAATAACAACCACAAAAGAAGTGTTGTTCGAATTAACTTTGATGAGAAAAGCATAACAAATGATGAGAAGCCTGATTTAAAATCTGAAACCAGTTTTCTAGTTGAGGAGAGCAGAGGTGCATATTTTGACGGGGCAGATTCTTCATCCAGTCCAATTGTACTATCAGAAACAAGCATTCCAGGAGGAAGTTTCGATTGGTTCAGCTGAGCTATCTTCTCCAGAATATTATGTGCCTCCGTTATTCTTCCTTTCATGGACAGGTACCTTGGAGACTCTGGCACTATCCAATAAAAGAAAAGCTGGGCAATAGATGGTAAAGAGGAGAATGCAAGTAGCCACCTCCAATTCAATCTAGGCAAGACAATCTGCAATAAGTACAGAAATACAGTTACCTTAAGAAAAATACTCAATAAGAACAGTTTTTTTTTCTTTCAGTAAAAAGATGTCATTTGAAAAACATTGGAGAGAAAGCACAAGGATAATAACTACATATAACTTCAAGAGGTGCATACTAACAGATCAATGAATTAGTATGGAAGAAAAAAGGCAGCTATCATATACCACCATGGAAGATGAAGAGTAAGGTTATGTGTTTTTCTGCAACTTTTCTGGTTCAAAAAGGGAGAATCTAAATAGCAGACAAGAGTCCCCTGCAGGGACACTAAAGAATTTCAGACGTTAAGAAAAGAGAGAATGTTTAAAAGGAATAAGATAAAAGTAAATTGAAACTAAAGCATATCAGGAGTCTCCAATTCCTTGAGTGGTCGAATTTAGAAGTCTTGGATGAATAAACCTAAAGTTCCAACAGTTGAAAACCCATTCATCAAGTTTTGAGTCTCTACCTTAAATCACTTTTTGACAACCTAACCCTCAAAAACTTTTATCATATACGGAAAAATCTGTCAAAAAACCAGAATGGAGAAGGCAAAAGAATAAGAGAGAAAAAGCGCACAACCCCTGCAACGGAAGTTCAAACAAAAAAGAAAGAAAGAAGGAGAATACAAAGCAGATTATCTTTCTTCTCTTACGACTGGAACTGACTTCAACATTCAACAAAATTAAAGAGCAACACCTTTTTCACAATCAGAGTGGGAAAGCAAATGCCATATTCGTATCAATCACCTTGTTCAGATAGTCAAATAAAACTTCAAAGAAATAAAATGAAGAAGCAACAACAGCTTGGATAGTAGTTGTAGTAGTGAGAAAATAGAACACAGTACCCATGCAAGTGCAGCCTCAAAAATGGTTCCGAATGTCCAGAAAGTTGAGAAGACAACCATCCAGGTGCCTCTATGTGAAGCCGGAACAAACTCTAGAAACCAGGAGGAAAATACAGGTCCACCACCCAGGCCAACCCCAACCAAACAACGGAGAATCAACAATGATACATAATTCGGGGAGAAAGTACTCAAAAATCCAGCTGCACTGGTTATAATAGTTATTCCTAGGAAACCCTTTCTGGAAACAGAAAATGGAATTAGAAAAACTAGATAAGATCAAGATACACACACACACACACACCAGGGTTGACATAAAGGAATATGATTTGTGCTTCACAATGAACCCTTGAATTGTCACAGAAGCTATTCAAAACTGAGCAATGGAAATTGAAGATCTTTCTATTTGAAAAGTGGTGAACTCAATATTAATGATGAATGGAATCTAGATTAGATTCTCACTAAAAGAAAGCATCTTTAATAACGTAATATGCCCATGAGCGACAGAAGTAAAGGCATCATAAATTTTATTGCCAGAAGTAGAAAAATGGCTAGTTTTCTGCAATTAATTTATGAAGTTTTCATCGATTAATTTGCAAAGCTATACGGATACAAGTTTACAAATGGAGAGACAGATTCATTATCAACGGGGCAATAGGCATATGAAATAAAATATGTAGATGGACTTGCCTTCTTCCACAGTAATCAGAAAAAAGGCCCCAAGAATAAGCTCCAACAAGCATGCCAGCAAAAACAACCGTAGAGAGCAAACTCTCCTGGGTAGAGGAGAGATTCCACTGGGACTTGACAGCAGGACCCACAAAGGAAAGGATCATAATTTCCATGGCTTCAGCAAACCAACCAAGACCGGCATAAGCAAGCACCAGAAACTGGAATTTTCCAAAGCCCGCAGAAGCGAGGGCATCATCCAGAGTGTACACCAGCTGGTCCTCATCATCCATCTGTGCGTGCGTGTATACAAGAAATAAGGCAAATATTAAGAATTAATTAATTAATCACAATATTGAAGATTTCATGACCTTAAATTAATTACAAATATACATATATTATACCCTGCTGCTGCTGCTGGTGGGGATGGAGGTCTCATCATCTACAACTGGCTGGTAATTAACGGGCATAGCTTTAGGAAATGTGCAAGATAGCCTGATCTCTTGCAATGAATTAATTTATGAAGAAATATAAGTATACAGGAGGAAGTACGTTAAAAAGCTTCTTAATTGTATGGTAAGAGAGCGGGGATGATGATGATGATGATGATGATGGGCGCGGAGTAAGGAAAGTGAGGGGGGGAAAGAGAGCGCTGTTTGATTATTGTCTTGACTTCGACGCGAGTCATTAGAGAGAAAGAAAGATGACCTTATAAACATGAGACAGCTGATTCAACGAGGTGTGAACTGAAAACATGAAACGTGTGGTCAAACTTAAGACAGCAGAGAAAGGGTTCTTGGTGGCTTGTCTTGTTGATGGTGCAGTGCATGTGATGTGGATTCATTTGGATGTGGATGCGACGTCAACGTGGGACGACATTGGATTAATACATACATGCCTATATACATACATACATACATACTGTATATGGAAGGAAGTGTAGTCGTGTCACTTCCTGTCAGGTAGGCAGACAACAAGAAGTGCCCGTACGATGCACCTCGAAAGGAAAGGGAGAGATGCACTTGTATGTGGATTGTGGCATCCCTACCTCGTCTCTGTCTTCTCTTGACTCTCCTCCGTTCTGGGCTTCGACTATCATGTAGCAGCTATGCTATGCTATGCTCTCCGACAACTACAATGGCATCCGTATCAACATTACTACATTTCGACTCCTCCATACTATCCTCCCTTTTCTTTTCTTTGAGAAATACTAGCCAGGGCTCGCGATTTGTCATTGGCTGGCTGACCAGATTATAATACCATGATTCAAGTGTTTTTTTTTTTTTTAATAATAATAATAAGGTTCGGCTCGTTAATTTTTGGCTGTATTTAATAAGTTTTACTAATTTCAATAATAAAAATGAATGCAATGATAATAATTAAATTGGCAAGAAAATTAGACAATGTAAGGAAAAACTATGAAATTTATATAAAGTAAACTAAATAAAGTTATAAAATTAAATTACTAGATATCACCATATTGAAAAGTGCTAATTAAAAAAATAAAAAATATATAAGTTAGCACAGATTAATATACAATCATAATCATAATAACTCTATAAAATTAAAAAGAGGAAACAATCATAAAGATCAATCTCTCATAAATCAAATATTAAAGATAAAATTTTAAAAAATATAATTAAAAAAAAACATAAAAATAGATATGAGTTCATAGAATGTAAACTTTAAAAAATAATGAAATAAAATTCTAAATTTATAAAATGTTAAGGAATGAAATTAAAAAAAATAATATGAAATAAAAAAAATAACAATAAAAAATATAAGAACTAAAATTGATATAAAAATAATTTAAAATAAAATATTAATGAATAAAATTAAAAATAAAATTTAATTAAAAATAAAATAAATAATAATCAAAATAATAAGAATTAAATTTAATTTAGAAATTAAATGAGAAAGGGAAAAAAAGGAGTAAATTGTATAAAAAATAAATAAAATAAAATAAAAAAGTAAGAAGAAGGAGAAGGAGAAATACACGGTAATTATATTATTACGGTGAGTAATGATTTGTATATTTTTTTTAATTTTTAATTTTAATAGGAATACCATTAGGATAGGATAATCCTTCTTCACAACGGGAGATTGTTGGAGGACTACGAGGATTATTAGTTAATCGCCCTAGCTAATTCATAACACTTTGAGCTTCTACCAGCTTTACCATCTTGTTTATTTTCTCACATAAACGAGCTTAAGCAATCTTCAACGATGAGATGGGGAGGTGGGGGGTATCTCTGGCCGAGATTCCCCGGTGTGCTACCACTTTCTATCGAGTTGATTAATGTATCATTGCTATCAATTAATTAATCATTTTTTAAATATAATAATAATAATGTCAAAAAGAGTTCAAGACGACGACCAGAGACCTTTTCTTCTCCTACTAGGGGTAGCCAGCAGCAGCATTAGCAGCCTCTCCTTTTGCTCCTCCGCCATTTATATCTGATTTTGATTGATTGTTTCTTAAACAATTGGTTGTTATTGATCCTTCTACCTCTCTAATATTTTTATTTTTATTTTTAAGTATCAATTTGATCTCTTTCTTTCTTTATTTATTTCGGTCTGTCAGGTAAATTACTATATAGTATTTGATTGATTATTTATAGAGAGAGAGGGGGGAGGGAGAGAGAATGGAGGAGGAGGGTCATATAGGCATTGGGTGAGGGAAGCAACAGCTGACGCAGCTCCTCTTCCTCTTCCTAAGAAGCTCTCCCCTCAACACCTTCTTTCTCAACCGAACTGCCTCGGTTCTGTCTGGAATACGGTACCCACACCTATCCTTTTTCCTTCTCCCTCTCTTCATTTATCCGAAACAAAATAAAAATTAATAAATTGCAGGCTGGAACATGGGAGGAGAAAAATCTTAATAATTGGGCCACCCACCGGATCAAGGTCTGTCATTTACTCTCTTTTTATCCCGCATTATTTTTTCCGCGCCTCTGATTTTTCCTTTATTGAAGGAACTGCTCGTGTCGGTGGGCTCCTTGGAGTTCTCTGGTGGCAAAGCACAAATAGCAAGTGTCGAAATGTTCTGGTGATGCAAGTTCTTTCTTGTTCTTGTTCTTGTTCTTCTTCTTTTTTAACTTTAATTTGTAAAGATGGAGTGTTTAGACTAGACCAACACCATGTTGCATCATGCATGTTGAAAGGTCAAAAAACCAAAACCTTTAGTATGTAACATATACAGAATTTACAACCGATAGAAGTCTTGAAATTTCCCTTCATTAATAAAAGGGTTATCTTGTCTGCTGCTACTGTGTATTGCTTTTTTGAATTGAGACTCCATTATCTTTGAAATGGGCAAGAGAAGTTTGTTTTCCCATGAATGCTTTTCCAGAAATGTTCTTAAAAACGTAGTTAGTGATCCAAAGGGCTGTTTATCGTTTCTGCTTAAGCAGAAGTGACGCCTTCGTCTGGCATCCAAATTTTCACCTCAATCAAACCTGCCTTTGATACTCTACACGATAAATAGCAACAACTTCTAGCCCACCCACTTAGTGTAGCAATAGATAATTGATTGATTCAGCTGCTGCTTCCTTAGTGAGTCAGTTCTATGAGATTTGCCTTTTTTATAGAAGTTACTAGTGGTCATAAGGAATTCCTACTTTAGACAGGCCCTCTCTAGGTATTAAAAAAACTAAAAGTGTTAGAGGAGTTGAGATATCCATATTTCCTTCTTTTTAACAATTCCAGACTTCATATGAGCATGTAACAGAAAAGTTGACACGTTGAGCTACTCCATTTTACTCTTGACTATATGATTCCTCCTTTGTTTTTATCTGGGGAAACATGTGAAATGACATGACTTGTGTATCTTGCAATATGCTTTCTATTTAACCTCATAGTTTTTGAAGTTGATTGATTCTTGTGAATCTCTGTGTTTTGTCTTTGAATTGTCCTATACATGCCAAATATTAGGAAAAAGCAAACCAGAACTCTCTAGTGCAGATCGAAATTGGACTGAACATCAGGAAAAAAAAAAAAAGTGAGATAATTGGTTACCTGTCTTATCATCTGATGCACTCACATGTAAATTGCCCTATTAAATTCAAGCTCTTGTTCTGATTCACATTATTTCTAGTGCTTTTTCTTGCTATTTTACTTTGATTTCTCGTTATTATTTAGCAAGAGGTCTTGCACAAATATTTCATTTCTGAATACTTTGAACTCCACAAACACACCGTTTTGTTTTACAGATGATATTATTGTTTTCTCATTATGAAGTGTATTTGATATGCGAGGGAAATTTATTTCTCTACTGATGGTTATTACTTGTGTGAGCAGGCATTCTTGGTAATTGTGAGGAACAAGAAACGTGTTGGATATACCTATGAATTGACACTGAAAATTAAAGGTAACCTGGTGTCACTTAAACTGCCTGCTTTCCCTCCTCCATCTATTTACCCTATCGTAAAAGAATTGGTATGTCAATGGGATTAGGGGAATGGATTGTCAAAGAGGAGAAAAGGATGGTCAAGGGCCACTTGGATTTTCCGGAGTTTTCATTTGGTGAGCTGGATGACCTGCAGGTAGGTCCTATATTTCCACTCAAATGTGTTGAGTATAAAATGAAATCTAGATGGAATTGACAGGAAAATGTTGGGAAATTTAGGATGACCTCTGAAAAAAGATGTGCATCTCCCTGCTGCTTGCTCCATCATCTTCTCATCAAAATAACAGATTCTCTAAAAGATGAGAAAATATCTGTCTTTTATTTAGTAATGTGGAAATAGAGTGATTCCTACAGCTATTGGTTGCTTGTATGGACAGTGATAAATGGCTGTCAAAAGGTCAAATAGCCCATAAACTTACTAATCTGTGGCAATTGTGGTTGATCAAACCATTTCTCTGTGTTTTCATCTGTATGGATTTTTGTGCTAGCCTGTCAGTCTGCTCTTATCTTTAAATAGACTGCCTAATGATTAATTTCAGTTCTTTTTTTTTTTTTACAATGATTAATTTTAAACTCTTGGTCTTGCTATTCTAGATGCAAGTACAGCTTAGCGACGAGAAGGATCTCTCACGGCAAGATATGCTACAGATCAGTCAGGATTTGAAACTGTTTTTACAGCCTGTCCGTGAAAAATTGCTCCAATTTGAGCAGGAGCTCAAAGATAGGTAGAAATGGGGGCCAGGAAAGACATGTTTCCTCGAAGTGAGACGGCAACGTTAATACTTAGCAACGATCTTTTTTTTTCCCCAGCATATGTAACGGAACAAAGGATTGTTAAAGGAGACAACAGTTTCCTGGGCATACTCTGAACTTGAGATGGACTTTATTGGATACTTCTCTCATGTCAAATGCATCTTGCAGATTTATCTACGACGGCTGTCTATGTTGACCTTATCCTCTACTTAGAGGATGAAATTTGTTTTACATGGTAATGACATAGCTTGCATTTTCTTGTCTGGTCTACTGGTAATGCGACTCATGTAAAGTAAATTTCCTTCCATTGTCAGAAGGTGGCATATTTAGTGATTTGAATGAAACATGATGGTGTCGTTACTCTTCTATCTGAGAACCAAACGACCAGTAAAAATTTGATCCGACGAGGATTGGATTAGCCGGCGTTATTGTGTTTGATTTGGGAATGTCTGAAGGAGAAGACCGGATCCCAATTGGTATCCCGAAGGTGTTACCCGGCAATTGATATTCTTTAACATTCATGCTACAGTACTGTTTAGATTTCAAAAACATTTTTTTTATTTTATGATCCTGTTGTAATGAAAATGAATTGCATCTTTCTACATAAACAGAACATGGAATCCAATTAAGATCAATGATATAATGACAAGATTGGGGAGGAGAGGGATCTAAACGAGGCTAATCCAATAGAGCAACATCGTAACATCTTTGTTTACTTGGAAGTTCTCGTAAACTTCTCCTACGATGGATTATTTGATTAAAGTATTGATTAGTATCGATTGACTGGACTAATTTGTGGTAACTACATGCCAAAAGGATTCTAATGATTTAACAATGTAGTGCAGAGGAACACAAGCTACCAAAAGCATCCCGACACGGGAGTTCTTTTTTACCCCCAAAGAATCCTAAACTTCATCGTTTTTGTTTTAACATCATTAACTTATTTACATGAAGAGAGGAGAAGGAAGCAGGGGAGCTTCATTGGTGGGCTCTTCTTGTTTTTGTAGAATACATGCAGGAAGACAGAAGCCATCACACCAAATACACCACCCTCTTCCTCTTTCTTAACGCATGGCAATTGGGGTCATCTCAAGGTGATTTTCTTCTTTCTCATGGCCTCTTCCTTGCACAGTTTGAAAGTAACTTGTGCTGTCCAAATAATCCATGGTTTATTTTTCACTTTCTCTGCTTCTTTTCAGTTTTCAAGTGTTTCATTCTATATTTTTTCTTCTTCTATATAAGATGATGTTTGTATCTTGTACCGCTGCAAATTCTGAAAAATATTATATTCTGGAGGTTTAGTACTTGTTGAGATGGTTTTATTGCTATAACGTAGCTTGCCCTAATTGCCTTGTGTTTCTAGATATCCTTCACTATCTGCTAACCGGAGAGAAGGTGACAAAGTGAAGGCTGAAGAGTAGACCTCTCGTTTGAGGATCATGAAATTCTATAGTACTGTCCAGCCCTTTAATAGAAGGAAAGGGGCGATGTTGCAAACCCATCCTTCGTCTGAGTCAGTAGGCTTATATTCTTTAAATAAAAATCTCCAATATTCTGCTGTCCTGCCTGATTGCGTACAACCAAAACCACCCAATTCCGTCCCACAGCCATCCTTGTTCCTAACACGGAAATTAAACGCGAGCCCTATCTTGAATGGTGCTGTTTCTTATGGCTCCATTGGTCAACCTCGCAAAGGCACCATGTTCTCCGCCAGTTTACAACCATCACCTTTGACAATTGCTGAGAGTGATCTCCAGCTTCCCACCTCACCTTTCCTTCAACGTCCTCAACCTCTCGATTATATCACTCCCCCTTCAGACTCTTTATTTCTTGGAGGACAAGATCTAATCACTGAGCCTGAAAAAGAAAATTTGATGGGTGTCCTGGACGAGTGCTCTGGTGGGAGCTTTACAGGTTCGCACTGCACTAAGGAGAGTTTGACATCCACTGAGAAGCTTGTACTTCAATATTTATCCAAGGAGCTTGAAATTCCCGTCGATGACGTCTCCCAAAATTCCACCCTCAATGTGAGTAACTGAATTTTTATAACGTAAATTGTTCAAGACTTCTACTCAGTTTTATCAGGTGCCGATAGTTGTACTTAACAAGGCAAGGAGGTTGATCATGATGCAAAACGAATTGGATATTGAAATTGATCTTGTGTTAATGATCATCCAAGTTGAAAACGCATGCAGGAAGCACAGCGAGTTTCATCGATCCCTATCACTGAGTTGAATCATTATGCAAACCATCGTTCATCAGCTGCACAAATGGATGACAGCGTTAACCGACTTCCTGAAGCTGCAACTCCACAAAAGCAAAGAATAAGATGGACGACTGAGCTTCATGACCTTTTTGTAGATGCAGTTAAATCCCTCGGAGGTCCTGATGGTGAGTCTCTTGTCTTTGATTGACCAAGAAAATTTTGGTGGTAGTTTCCTTCTATAACTCACATTCTCCACTGTTAATAACTGTAGTTGCAACTCCAAAAAGTATATTGGGTATTATGAATGTTAAGGGCTTAAGTATCTATCATGTCAAGAGCCATTTGCAGGTAATTTTTCTTGTCTAGACTTTTCTTTATCATAACAAACAAATTCTACTAAAAATCTGTTCAATTGTTTTCATGTGCCTTGTGATTTGCAGAAATACCGCCTTGCTAAAAAATTTCCGGAGACAAATCATGGTATGACCTTCTCATAGAAACAAGTCCATGCTTCTTGTATTAGGGACATTGTCTCTTTCGGGCAGATAATTAGAACCATGTATCCTGCTTCAAACATAAATTTGGTTTATGATTCTCTCATGTCATTGTATAGTTGTTGGTTGGTGATTTTATTTTTGAAAATCTTGCTCTTGTACAATGGAATATGTTGTCTTCAAATAAGTCATCCTTTTGTCATACTAACTTTTCTCTTCTCTTTGAAAGACAAGTAGTCACATGATTCCAAAACCTATCACAAGCAACTGCAAATTTGTGGTGTACTAATAGCAATGAGAGAAGATTTTATATTCACCAAATAGCTCTGCAATGCTTCCAACTTCCAATCGATTCTACCAATTCTTTTCCTCTCTTTCTTTTAAAGCTTGTGACTGCTAATCCTTACTTTCCTCTTGTTTTGCTACTTGGTGTCTAGACAAAAGCACTTCCGCCGTGGTAGAGAATAAAGCAGCTTCATCGAACAGTGACAATGATGCACTTGTCATTGAGTCCAATAGGTGAATGATCATTGATCGGTATCTTCTTTTTCCCTTTTTGTTTATTGGTTCAAGCAAAATCTCCAATGAATCATTCTCTTGCAGAGACGTGCAAGTAACAGAGGCTTTGCGCACACAAATTGAAATTCAAAAGCTGCTGCATGAGCAGCTTAAGGTGCCTTGATGCATTCTCGATACTCTAGTCGGCTTGATGGCTTGTTTGTTTATCTCCTTTTGTTGTATCGATGATATCATGATAACTTCATGGCATTTATAGATGATATAATATTGACCGACAGAAGTAGGTCAGGATTAAAAGAATGCACATTAGAATTATGGGGAAATAATTCAAAATACAAAGGGTTTTTGGAATTTGGATAACTGTTGAATGATAATTTAAAATGGTTTAAATCTAATTCATAGGCGAAATAGGGTGCTTCATGTAGCAGGGACAAAAGGGCTAAGCAGGGTGATAAAAAAACATATGAACAAGTAATTAAGAATAAGAAAGCAGAATCCTGAACTTGGACACTGAGTTTGCATCGCAAAGTTTTGAGAATTTCAACATCAGTCTGTAGCACCTGTTGAGTAAGCTTGTAGTCTATTTATCTTTTCATTCTTTTGTTTTATGGCTATTGCGCAGGCACAGAAAGAGCTTCAGATACGCATTGAGCAGAATGAAAAGTTCTTGAGGGAGTTAATGGAACAGAAAGCGATTTCGATCCATGAGCCATCATCATTTGCTGTCCCTGTCTCAGAACCCAAACTGCTGCCTCACTCTCCATCTGCTGATGTTTCCTCACCAGGGCAAGCTGCAGTGAATAGTGATTGCTTCTTATTCCAACCATCAAATCACAAAGCCTCTGACGCTGTGGTATCTGAGAAGGCAAAATGTCCTAAACGGGATCGAGGACAAAAGGAACATCCGATCCTACTCTAAACTAGTTGACAATTGCAGAAAATGAAAGTTCATTGGAAGCCATGATTCTGAGCATTTGATGACTGAAAAGCCTTCTGTATGATTGCCGCACTCAAGTTCTTGTGTGTAATGCGCGCCACTTGCAATTATAAGAATAATACCATCGTGCGCAAATTCCATCGCAATATGAGAACTAAAAATGTTTAGGTTTGCATCTTCAAAGAAGCTGAGGAGTGTTAGCTGAGATTTCAAGGAGAGAAAATCTGCCAAATTTATGCAGCAAAAGTTCAATGTTTCTAGCTCAACTGTTGGTTTGACGCTTCAATTCCGTGTTGAGCACATCTAATTCAATTCACGATGGACAAGCAGTAGGTACAACTCTCTCAGTTTAAAAAGCAACAACGGAATAATAACCATCAGGTTACCTTTTAATTTTACATCTCCTTCAAGATTTTAGTCCTGAACATCCAAAAAAGAATCGTTTCCATGCGGGTTATAGGCGGTAGTTAACCTGCCACACGAAAGAGAGGCAAAAATATAAGAAAAGAGAAGCTATCGATGCCATGGTAAAAGAGCAGTAAAGTCCATAAAATGACTTGTTTTGTGTCATCACAACTGCTACACATTTCGATCGCATGAAAGTAATAAAGCAACCATCAATCGATCGCATCAATTTTACCACGAAGTATTATCTGATAGAGATAAAATTGCACATTGCAGCACTTCCACTTTTCTTCAGTTTTCAGAGGTTTTGTCTATTGTAAACCAATTTAACAGGAATTATGAGCATGGCCAAATAAGAATTAAAAACACAGTTAAGGGAAAAAGAAAGGCCTCGTCTCCAATAAACCAACGATGGGCTGTAATCAGAGGCAGCCGGGGATTGCTGGCCAAAAGATAAGGGAAGTTGTACTTGGTAAGATGCTCTCTGAACCTACTTCTCATTGTTTTTTCTCTTGCGGGATCCGCTTAGAGCTGCTTTGGTTCGCGCCCATTCTTTCACTGAATCAGCAGTCCTCATGAATGAACAAGTTTCTCCAAAGGAAACATCTCTGGTATATGCTGGCTTCGTCTCTGAATTGGTTTTCTTCTCCACTACTGGAGCAGGAGCCTCTGCATTGCCTACACCAGTCTGCGGGCTCATTGCCACTCTATTTTGAACATTACCCTCCTTTCTGACCCCAAAAGCCAGTATGCCATCTACGGTAGGATCAATATTGCTCTTCTTAAATATATCACCATGCATGCTTTTCATAGAACTGGGAACTTCCAACCCATCAGGTTTTGATGGCTCTACCTTTGCAAAAGTAACACCCGGCAAGATTTGAGTAATACTGAATGCATTGCTGTTATTCCCACTAACCAATTGTGTCCATGAGGATTTATTGAGCCATGCATAACCTCTGCCTGGCTTATTTGAAGCAGAATCCAGTTTGGCAGACAGGGCCTCCCTGTGCCCTCCCACTTCTTTGATCCTGCTGAAATGTTCATTTTGATTTTCTTGCTTCCTGGATTTATTGTTCTCACTGTCCCTAGAGCCGGCGACATTATTACATTTGGGTTGCTCTTCCTTGCTAGATGCATGTCCCGGCAGTGTTTCTGATGCATTGTCAGATTTGGATTGCTGTTCCAGCAAACTCACATTACCTCCCGGCATAGCAGGCATTCCTTCACTTGTATTACTTTCTTCATTGAGAACTATTTTCCTCTTCTTATTAAAAGGTGTAGTTTTTCTTTTCTGCTTATGGAGCACCTTTTGAGTCGGTTCATCTGTCGAAGTTTGCCTAACATTGAATCTTCGTTTCTGCAAATTTGAGGTAGCAAATGGAGTTAAAAATCAAACTTGAAAGAGAAATATCCACAACAGCAGATGCCATCAAAATCAATGACTTTTGATGGACAGAGTATTAAACCGTACCTGATGAGTTAATATGGTTTCCTGTGGTACACTAACCATGTTAATTATGAGGTTATAATCATCTTCATCGATGTCCCCTTCATTCTCTTCAAGTGGTGGTTTATCAGTGGTTTTTATGGAATCATCTACTTTCTTATCCAATTCAATCTCACAGCATGCATTGTCTGAAACATTTTCCATCTGAAAGAGCTTATTCATCACAGAATTCATCAAAGTCAGTTCTTCCTTGTCCATCCCAGCACCCTGTTCTTCCATGATAGGAATGTGTCTGCATTTAGCTGCAGCTGCAGGAGGAGGCTCCGAGTGTTCTTCACAATCACAGAAATGCTTGGGAACTGGAGGAACTTCAACACGTCTGAAACTGTATCTGTGTTTGCCAGTTCCTCTAAAAGGTATTGACTTTATCTGCAGCACAGACAGCCATTTACATGTATAAGCAAATATTTTTACAGATGGAGACATATCCAAGATTGATAACAATAACGATAAGCAATAACAATACTAGTACTCTACCTTTCCTAATCCAGGGAAGAAGAGGCGAAGTTGCTTATTTTCTGAAAGAAGCTCTTTATTGCTGGGCTTTGAAGAAATGGGCAGTTTCTTGCTGGTGGGATCATCTTGAGCATGATCAAGATTAGGAGTGGGAAGGAGAGGATGTTGATCTTCATCTTGATCTTGAGCCCATTCACATCTCAAGCGAGCAAGATAATGCTCTTTGGCCTTCTCAAGCCTAAGCTTCCCACCCTTCCAAGCACAACCATTATACTGAACAGTCACAGAAACAGGCACAGGCAGGAAGAATTAGCGTCGGTACAAGATAGTCAGGATAGTAACATAAAGGAAGCAAGCAGGCGGTAGCAGCGTTATCAATCAATGATTAAGATGAGGAAAAAGAAACACATGAAACAGAAACGGATTGAAAAAATACAGTGTTGAAGAGCTTGGAGAGGGAGTTGTTAGAAGAAGAGAAGAAGTCGATGTAAGCAAAGGATCGGCCTTTGCTTCTGATGATCTCCACTGATTGAATCCCTAAGCCCAAACTCTTATTTGATGAAAATATGTTGTGCAGGTCTTCGCTGCTCACGCTCTCCCCCAATCCTCCCACGAATATCCTTATCACTGCTTCTTCTTCTTCTGCCGCTGCTGCGGGTGCGGGTGCGACTCCATTCATCTTTATCTTCTCCTTCTCAGTCCCCCCTCTGTTTTGTTTGCTAATTACTATCCTAGCCTCCACCAATCCCTCCTAGGGCTAGTACTCAACATATAGATATATATAGTCCCTTTGTTGACGACGACGGGGGCTGTTGTTTAACATAAGTGGGCTTGCCTAGCCCAACCCAATTCTATTTATGTGTTCTGTGATGTGCCTCTTGTTTGACTTGCATTTTTATCTGTATTTATAAATATTTATGTTTGATGAAAGATTTTTTTTTAGCATTTTGTGTAATATGTTACATTGAATATTAAAAAAATATAAAAAATAATATTGTAATATATCTTTAAATAAAAAAATCCTTTTCAAAACAACTCCAATATCTAAATAAATGTGAGGTGAATTAATTAGACACAACCACGCTGCGGGCCACTTGATCGCATCAACAATCTGGTAATCAACCCTCTCAGCCTACCAAGTTTTGAGGATGTATTGAATTTAGCTTTGTTGCTGTCTTGCTACTTCGAGGATGCATTGGGTTCAGCTTTTGCTTTTGTCTGCATGCAGTGGCCTCTGTGACATTATCGGTGATGTTAGCTACGAAAGAATTGCGAGCTGCATCATGTGATGATTGCAATCAATTGAAGCAAAATACAGAAGACTGCTTGTTCCCCGCTGCTGCTGCCTTCTCATACTCGTTAACAGTAGATGCTAATGTTTTCTGCTAGCAATTCTGATTTCAAACACATGGAATTAAATCTGAGAGGGATGCGATTAAAACAATATGCAACTTTCTAGTACATGTCAAAGGAAACAACCCTTCATGGCTGCAAAACTGAATCCAATGTGCGGTTATTACCAAACCCCTTCTTCTGCAGGTTGAAAGAGAGAAAGTTAGTCGACTCGAAGTTGATTGAGTTCAATAGCCTTCTTCGTCATCCCTATATAGCACCCTCAAAGCCAGCTCCTGCCAGTCAGAGCCCATTATTTGGAGCCACTCCCTAATGCAACTCCGGCTACAGCTCAAAACGCTGCCCCTCCCTCGGTTTCCAGCTTTGCTCAACTGAAACCTCTCTTAACACGGGATTTGGAACCAAGCATCACTCTGTCAGATGAATTTTAAAAAAAAATTCAATTAGTTTTGGAATAGGCTCTCGCTCGAGGTTAGTAATTATTTAATCGATGGATACTAGTAATTTTATTTATTTTTTTAATCAAAATAATCAAGTAATTAATAGTTTATATTTAATATTGTGTAAGTGGGTTGTGGATATACAATTTTTTTTTTTAATGAAGGTGAGGATTCTTTGATATTTAAATAAATATATTTTAAAATATATATATATATAATAATAATAATATTGAAAGAAAAGAAATGCTTATTATTATATATATATAATGAAAATTATAAAATATTAATTTGAATATCTTAATGTATTTAGTAACTATAAGTCTTGCTTGTTTTTTTTTTTTAATAAAAATGTATGGAATGTAATTTTATTTTAAAAACATTTAATGAGATATAAATATTTTTTATATCTATATTAATATTTAATAGAAATATAATAGGTATATAAAAAACTTTGATATTATAGGTGTAGAAAAATTAAAATCAAAGATGTTAAATGTCGATGAGCTTGTGGAAACTGAACTCTCTTTATTCATTTTCTTGGACTTCTAGGTAGAATAGTCATTTTCTTAAGCATGTGAAGGGAGGATTATTATTGTCCTCTTAGATATGTTTAGCTATCTTCTTTCAGCCACCACTTACTATCAAACAATGCCAACCAATTTTCTATCCATAAATCCCAGTGTAATCTTGTAGGTTCTAATATTTTCAATTTTGATGTGCATGTTTTGATCCACGCCTTCTGATTATCTGTCATGCAACAGGTCTGCTTTGCAACCAACTCCCAAACCAGGCCCTTGGAAATTCCTTTTCCCCTCGGTATAGCACGACTCTTTGGCTACATTGGAGTAAACAGCATTCAAAGTATCTCTTCCTCCGTTGTCAATGCAAAACCCATCAATCCAGTCTCTTATCCCTTCCAATGGGAACAATTCTGCGTTAAATGCAGCAGGGCAAGCAACTACAAACAGTTAGCCAGCGTAAATATGTGAACAGCCTGTAGTTTTAAAGCAAATTAAAAGCGTTCTGGTCATGAATTTCTGAGTGCCACTTCATGAACTAAGGATACACCATGATAATGGTATTTCTGTAGATAGAGCTTGAAAAATGTTGAGAAACCGTTGGGAAAATTAGGAACAATCGGACACCAATTTACTCGGATCAATTCAGGCGGAATACAATTCACAAATCTCCATGAATTTCTGAGTGCCACTTCATGAACTAAGGATACACCATGATAATGGT